TATATGTATCCCCTTTCCCTCTTGCATTGCCATTACATAGCTGAGGCCCTTACTCTAACTAGTCTGGAATATTGAAACAGCCACCCAACATATCTCCATGCCTCCACCCTGTCTCCTCCCCAGACCATCTCGTCTGCTGCTGCAAAACAATCATCTACCTAATGCAGCAGTTATGTAGACAGATACATTAATCTGGAGTCAAGGGAGAGATGAAATAAATAGTTTGGAAGTCTGTGGCACACAGTTGGCATTTAAAGCCTAAGACTAGATAAGCTAACACCTAGGGAGTAAGCATAGAGGGTAAAAAGAAGGGTCCAAGGATTGAGCTGTGACATATACCAACATTTAGGGGGTAGGCAGATGAGGAGATACCATCAAAAGAAACTAAGATTGGATTTGAGTCAAGAGAAAATCAGAAGAAAGAAATTGGAGTAGGGTGTGTGTGATAATTTCACATATATCTAGCTAACCCACAACTACCTTGATGGGAACTATTTTGATGGGAAGAGGGAGGGAGAAGCCTATATAGGTGGGTTCAAGAAAGCATTGGAGGAAATGAATTGGTTACTACAAATATGGAAGGTCTTCGAACAGGTTTTTCCCTCCAGGGATGGAGAAAAACAAGGAGTATCTCTAGAAAATAGAAGATTAAGGAGAGGGTTTTTAAAAATCAGTGATGTTACAGAATATTTGTATAAGATAAGCCAATTGAGAGGGGCAAGTGATGATGCAAGAGAGGGATCCATCACGGGAGCGGTGTTCTCGAGTACGTGATAGGGCACGGGACCTAGTGGACAGGTGGAGTGGTTTGATCCTGAATCACTTTGCCCTAAAGACCCTCTCATCAGAAACTTGAGCAGTTTCCCTCACTGCCTCCTTTGCATGACACCAAAGGTCTGTCCTTAGGTTCCAACCACAACCTACATTTCCTCTAAGAAAAGTAAATACTGTTCTAACTTAAATCAGTCACTCCATGTTTATACAGACGTCTAGGATTCCTTTCCCTTGCGTACTGTTGAGTAAGGAAAGAAAACTGTACACGTTCAGTAGAAACCAGACTTTTGAATTTCCATACAGCCATTTTGTTTTTCACTTTCAGCGCAGTATTCAATAAATTACATGAAATATTCAACGCTTTCTTATAAAATAATCTTTCTGTTAGATGATTTTATCCAACTGGAGGCTGAGGTAAGTGCTCTGAGCACATTTAAGGTAGGCTAGGCCAAGCTGTGCTATCTGGTAGTTGAGACATATTAGATGCATTTTTGACTTACAGTATTTTCAACTTAGAACAGGTTTATCAGGACACAGACCTATCCTAAGTTGAAGAGCATCTGCACCTGGTTAGGCATTGTATTGGCCAGGCCTGGAAGCCACACATATCACTTCTCACATCCCAGGGAGAGAAATCAGTCACATGGCCATATCCAGTTGCAAGAGAGGCTGGGAAACGTTTTGATGCTGGGCATGTAGCTACTTCATTACCATGGAAGAAACACAGAATGAGTTTGGGTGAACAGCTAGCAAGCTCTTCCACAGGCATCCTTTGTGATACCAGTAGTCCTTTTTGAATATGGATTGGCTTATACAGTTTTAAGCAGCAAAACATAAAATGTACAAAAGGCTACAAAAAGGAATTCAAATATGCCATTAGTCCTTTGTTAATGAGACTCTGTAAAATATTCTTCTTCTCTTAGAGCTCAAGGTTAGAATAACGAACCTGTTTTGGCTAGCAGTGTTCCTGTAGCCTTCAGATTGAGCTGTTTGTATATCGAGAGAAGGCATTTTTTTAGTGTCCTCTACTATTAAGGCTTTGTCAGAAATTTACAGTTTTAGAAGATGAATTTGTTTTTACTCCAAGTGCTTCAGTCAGTGGTCAAACAGGTTTTGAGCCCAGCTTTCAATGCCAGCATGGAGGGCGGGGGGAATTAAAAATAAATTCCACAGTCTAAAGCTAACTTTATCAAGGCTTTTGCTCTTTTAGATTTGAGGCTATTTTTATAACTAAGGAGGGTGGTTTTTAAAATTAAGTTCCTGGCCGGGCGCGGTGGCTCACGCCTGTAATCCTAGCTCTCTGGGAGGCCGAGGCGGGTGGATTGTTTGAGCTCAGGAGTTCGAAACCAGCCTGAGCAAGAGCGAGACCCCGTCTCTACTAAAAATAGAAAGAAATTAAATGGACAGCTAAAAATATATAGAAAAAATTAGCCAGGCATGGTGGCGCATGCCTGTAGTCCCAGCTACTCGGGAGGCTGAGGCAGGAGGATCACTTGAGCCCAGGAGTTTGAGGTTGCTGTGAGCTAGGCTGACGCCACGGCACTCTAGCCCGGGCAACACAGTGAGACTCTGTCTCAAAAAAAAAAAAAAAATTAAGTTCCTTCTGACACCCAAAAATTATCAAAATAAATTACATCATAATGAATCTGTTTTAAAAGTTACTGATAGTACTTATATGAGTCAAAATTTTATGGACTATAGACTAGGCTTTATCTGGTTTAAAAAACTGCATGAAGCAGGTTCATTAAATTAGACTTAAAGTCATAATCTATTCTTTAATTTTTTTAAAAAAAATTATATTACCTTTAAAAGATCCTAAATTTTAGATGAGTAATTAAAAATTAATACAATAAGACATTTCTACAAGAATCCTACTACTTCAACCTTTAATAAATGAGAACATTTATGGACTATTCTTACCACACCTAGAGAGGTATGTTTGTGACAGAAAACAATTCAAAACCTTCAAAAGATACTTGAGTCAATATTTTCTTGTAAGACAAGTACTATTAGCAACTGTAGCACATTTGAAAGTTCAGTAGCATCCTTTTCATATAATGGAAGCATTCTGCGTTTCGGCATATGTGACCTGTACATTACATTTTCCCCTCAGTGATGCGGGGAACTTACTGATCTATTTCTTTATCTTAATCTTTCCTCCCTAAACCTTAGACAAAGGATGGAAATTAGAATTTATAAAACGTTTTGTGCCCAAGGAAAAAGGTAGTTTTGTTATTCATAGATTTTTACTGCCCTTGTTTCATTCTGAAAAAACTGGAATACTTTGCCAGTCGTAACACATTCTTCAGATGTTCCTTATTTCCAGAAGGTATAAGTGCAGCACAACTGCTTTAGCAAAGGAACACAGTGTATTTGCATGCTGTTTTAGTAAAACCAATGAATATTCAACAGTCTCAGATGTGTGAAGAAACAACATGACAATTAGAATTACTGAAAAACTTTACAGAGGAATATCGAACAGTACTGAAAATCAACCTTCATGGATTACATCTGTAAAACCTCAGATCACTGGAGAGCTCTTAAACATCTCACTGAAACATTTACAAAGTAGGTAGGGAGTTAAACAAGTTAATACTCATTTGTTTTAACCCTAGAGATCAGGTAAGCTTTCTCACATCTCACAACTGCTTTTTACAAAGCTTTCTATTGTGCGACATAACTTTTTTCTATAATTCCCAAAACTTACATCAATTATATTTTGGTTCCTTCTGTTTAGGAAAAAAAATCAGTGTTCTAACTGAAATATCTCTAAATTTACATAATGCTATTACAGTTTATTTTCTGTTCACTTTTATTCTTTCTGAATATTTCTTAGCCTCTGAAAATTTTCATTTCTTCTAAAATAGTCATTTATGTATAATTATAAATGTATCATTCCTTTGACACTGTTTTGAAATGATCTGAAGATAGAGTGTGCTCTCCCTTGGAATTCATGTTTCAGAGCTTTAGGAAAACCTAATACTATTGCACTAGATCTTACACTAAAGATTTTGATAATCTTCAGTGAAGATCACCAGTGGGAACAAAGATTCTTTGTCATAGATACATCCCTCTTTATCAGGAAGGACACATTCAGGTAATAAGAGCCACTATGCTTAGTTTAATAGAAGCCATTTTGTAGAGGCCTCTTCTAACTCAAAGTTCAGAAGTATAAATATAATTGAATGTTGTCATAATTTCTCAGTTCCATTCTAAAAAAAGTGTGTATATCCTAATGGCAGACACAAACTCTGTCTAGTTCTTGGGACACTGTCTTAACTGTCAACAAATAGCAGAAAAATATTTTCCTTGGAGATTTGATAGCTTTAGAAGTAATAACATCAACAACAACAACAACTGATATTCATTAAATGTACCAGGCATTATTCTGAAGCTTTACATGTGCTATTATGTTTACTCCTTATTGCAACCCTAGGTTAATTATGGTTGCCATCTTCATTTTCCACATGAGGAAACTGAGATTCAAGTAGAGTCATACAGTGGACAAATGATGGAACTAGAATTCTAAACTAAGCATTTCTGACTCCAGAGCCACCATCATAAATATTATGTTATGCCGTACCTTTTTTTTCTATTCTTTGATGAAGCCCAGGGTATCAAACTGAGAATTCTAGACCCAACTCACATGGAAAAATAATTCATCTATTTACCAAGCCAAAGATTAGTTTCCTACTATAATTATATAATTTACCTTGTGGAGATTTTTGTACATGCCAATTTTATGGGATTGTTGTGAACCTTAATCATATTTATATTGTAAAGTGTTTTTCATAATGGAAGATTATTAAAATACAGATGAATACATGTTGATTCAATATGTTCTTTATTTTGATGACACGGGATGGGTGGACTGTGCTTAATATCCTTTTAATGCAGATAGGAGTCTCTGAGTTCAATCTAGGTTTTGCTATGTTTAGCTACAAAATGTGGATAATACCTAACAAAGACATCATAGGGCCCAGTGACCATTTCTATGACATTGTCAGATATCATCTTTGTTAAAAGGATGATAAAACTCAGTATGCAATTTTACATAAGCAGTATTTAATAAATTCATAATTTAACTAGTTTTAACATAGAAATATGAGGACTAGGATTAGCTTATATTTCCATATTATCTGATTATTCTATTTTAAAGAAAGGAGGGTCTGCTGTTGCGTATTTCTTACCATTCCCATTGGGCACTAATAATTGTTCTGTTATAGAATATGGAAAGTCTCTGTTCTACACAGTCTCAGGAGAGGACTGGACCTGGTGATGTCGAACGGATGTCTGATGAAAGGTAATTTTAGAATTTTCTCTTCACATTGTTTGCAAGGGTATGAAAAGATATTTTTTCATATAATGCAATGTGAGTTTATAAAAACTAAAAAGAATGGAATTAACAGACTATATGTTTACCAACAGTATTTTATAGGAAGGAAAATGTTTAGAATAGAAAATCTACCATGGTACTATTGAAGGCAAATAACAATAGTTATGTTTGTTTTTGTTTCTAGTTTTGTATTATTTTGATTAATTTTGTTTTTGAAGTTTACAAGAATTTCATTTAGAGATACTCAACCTACTTTTAAAATAAATGAAATCATATCAATGAATAAAAAGCATTGTTTTAAAACAAATGGACATTTTATGATATTTGCTGTTGTTTATAGCAAAGAAAATGAAAAAGATGGCGGATATACCCAGCATTTTGAGGTGAGTAGCCAACAAGAATATGACGGGGACAGCTCTGTTCATTCATTCTTGACTGTACGTGTGCAATATTATTAGCCTGTCAATATAGGATAATAAGATAAGTAGCCATTAGATAGCGAGACTGTGATTGGTTAGAAAGGCAAATAGCCTAGACTTACAGATTCCTTGAGAAATCATAAAGATTCCATTATTTTGCTTTGCAAATTATTTTGCTTGTGAAGATAAACGTTAATAACATGAGGATTTCTCTTTAGATTTTCTATAAAGTAAACAAAACAAAAAGTCAAAGCTGCTCGTTTGATTTCCATGATTTGATACATTTTTTAAGTGACTGAAATATATAGGTAGTGAGTTTTAGTGGATCTGTCACAGGATTAGCTCATTAAATTTCCAGTTAACACAAATTCATTATTTAATCCAATTTGTTTTTTGAGTTTTGTGTCTCATTTTAAATAAACAGAGAAAAAAATCTCTAACTCCCTTACATTGCCTATATTTTCAAGTTTCATTTACATTCCTGACTTCCCTCCTGTCCTCTCAGGACACCGCCACACAGACCCAAGTATTTGGTTTCCCTCACTCCCAACTCCAGCTTCCATTCAGTGTGGGAGCCTCATTTTTAATTCATGTATGTGTTAATCTGTGGCCTCCAAATGCTTCCAGCTCTACCTTCAATCTTACCAGTTTTGTTCTTGACAAAAATTAAAGCTTTCTTCGATCTATTCTTAAATTCTGACTCTCAATATATTAACTATATAGAGAATGCTCCCTCCAACCCAGTGATGTTTAATCTTTGTCGGGCACTGACCTAATTCACTGATGAATTTGGCAACATATATTAAATCCCACTACATACAGGTACTATGCTAGGAGCTGTAACTTAACCATAGCAACAGTTCATGCCCCCATGGAGTTTTACAGTCCAGCAGATTAAGAATCAGAAAGCTGTGGGCCTTTTTCTTAGAAAATTGTACTCTCACGTAAAATCTTGCAAAAATTGCCGGAAATTAATGACTACCCCCCATGCACACACTCTAATACTATTACTACAAACACCTCATACTTCCTGTATTCAATTCTTTTCATGTATACTTCTTCATTAATCTAGCCAGATAAAGGGAGGGAAATGCTTCCTCTTTCTGACTTCACAGCTTCTGAGCCACTTTTTTCATCTATTATTTCCAACTCATTCATGCTTCCTTCCTTGGGACCCACGGCAACGAGCTGACATTCTTTCCTTCTCTCTAGGCACCTTTTTTAAGAGCACATTTCCACCATGATAGTGATTTTTTTTTTTCTGGTTTCATCCTTTCTCTGCTGTCTTCCACCATTGACAGCAAGCACCTACTCATCTGCCATCGAACATTACTTGAAAGAAAATCACTTTGCCAGCCTCCTGGGGAGGTCTTCTCAGTTCTTCCCTTTTATGCCTGTTATTTTTAATGAGATAAAAGAGAACACAGTAACTTTTGTGGAAGGACTTCATAATACTAATTTATAAATTCCAAGTGGCACCCAAACTAAATTCATGCTGAACTCAGTTTGCCTTGGTCTTTTTGGGGACAACTCCCATAGCAGTGGATGAATCATGGGGAAACAATCTCAAATCCCTCTTCCACGTGCCAAGTCCTGTTCTTACATCTGTCACCCATGTATAGCTACCAATCAGCACCCAGCCCACTGTTGACACTCCTAGAGCATTCACTATTAATAATCATTGCCATCATGACAATTTCAGTTAGGATACAAAATTAGGTGGTGAATTAAAATCTAGACTAAGCTCTCCATGTCACCTTTCTATCACAGCTGCACCAAAGAAGAAGAGTAAGACATCACTCCACAGATTGGGATTATTTCTATTCGTGAAGCCAGGTGCTTCTTTCACTGAAAGGAATGTATTTTATTATTATTCATGAAAGACTCTGAAAAGCTCTGTTTTCCATTGTTAGCCTCTTTCCCTTGTTTCAGTGTGTTGTAAATTCTTTTCAATTCATGTAGCACTTCCTAAAATTTATTATGATAATACCACCCAAACAGTTAATCTGGTTTTCTGGTAAAACAGCAATAATCCCTAAAATTCAGAGATGAAAATAAGTCTAAACTTTGGTTACCCCTCCTAGAATTCTGTTTAACTAGTATTTACTTTGTTTCAAGTCTACTATGGCATCAGATTGAGATGCCAGAATTTACATGCCCACTACGAAAAGATGATATAATGTTTGCAATTTCATTTTCCATTAAGATAAATTTTGTCCTTACTAATACTGTCTTTAAAAATTCTCCATGTGAACACTCAGATTCATATGATAAAACAGCAAATGACAGCTCTTGGGCAGAGGGGATTTTTTTTTTCTTTTCCTTTTTTTAACTAGTATTTCCATTAAAATGAGGAACAGTAATTTTCAGCCTCAGAAATGCTCCTTAAAGAGAGGCATATCTTAGGTCTGCTTCTCAAAGGCAAATGAAGGCACAACTATAACTTTATTTTTAAATAATCAATTTGCAGCCTTAAATGTGTTTTATTTGAAGACATGTGCTGAACGTGAACATGGGTTTAGCCCTTTGTGTCATGTCTTTTTAATTTCTTTTAATTATGCAACTAATCTTATCCAAAAACGGGTTCTACTGAGATCTCAGATATGTGTTAGTCGATGATGGTTACCCGTTTCTATTTCATATGAGTTTCTTATGTGGTTTGGATTAAAATTTGTTTAGTGACTGGCAATGAAAAAAATAAGCTAAGAGTCACTTCAAAATGCCAAAAACTAAGGTACGGTTTCTTCAGGTAGGTTCTAGAAAGGCTGACATTTTAATAAAATATCCTCTCTGGGCTGTATAAAATAACACAAGGAAGACCCTAGCACACTGTTCCCTGGGCATGCAGAATCTAGAGTCTTTGTTCTTTCGTTTGTTTTTAAACTCTTTTAACAACTTCAGGCATCCAGAAGAGAGATCACCCTTAAAACTAGCAATTTCTAGATTCTAAAAGATATCACTGAAAATGCAGATTTTCAGAGTTCTGTTTACTGTGAAGCTTATACCTTATGCTTCAGTGCAATTCCTTCCAGTATGTTATTTCCTATTATGAAAATATCTTATGCTTCTGTATAAAATTCAGAATATTAAAACTATAATCTTACAGTGAATCTTTTTGTCAAGAGAGAGAACAAGAATTATTAACTACAAGTGAAGGTATTATCTGGGAGAGCTCATTTTATGTCAGAATTATAAGGCCAATAAAGTGTTAAATTCTTTCAAGATATTTTTACATTCTTTATGCTTAATAAGCCTACTGCTTAAGAGAGCTTAAAAGCATACCTTTGATAACAAACAAGACATTCACAATAAACCAAAAACTATTTCCCTTTTTCTTATCCTGCTTCAAAAAAAAAAAAGAGGAGAGGGAGAAAGGAGAGAAGACAAGTCTTTTTTCAGTCAAGACTGAGAATTAATATTAGGTATCACAAGATCTCAAGTGTAGGTTTTTATTTGCCCTGAAAAGGTGAATTTCTGAAATATCCCCATTAACAAGTATTCATGAAATGGATGACTGTTATTTCAACTTCACTGTATTTCATGGAAGCTTCAAGACTTTGTTATTGGTTTTAATATTAGAACTGGAAAGTTTTGATAGCTCTATTTATTTAGATTCACTTCTAATTCAATCCAATCGTAAAAGGCTAACTAAGCTTTGCAGTCCACATGGATTTTAAAAATTTGTTATGTCCATTTTCCTTTATTGTCAGCGCAACCAGTAAATGTTTAGAGTTCCGTGTGTTTCTTCTGTTAACACTGTGGTGTGCATTACACAGCACCCTCTCTGATACTGTCATTCCTGGCTCTGGTAAGCCATTAACTAGGCCACGTATCCATATCCTGTGCAGGGAGGGAGAAGGGATGGAACAAAAATTCACCAACTATTCCAAGCCAGGGAAGGAGCAGGATCAATAAAGTCTGGAAATATTAATAGAAAAAGGCCCAACTGGACAGGGACATGTCTCGACCTGAACGTGAAATGTCACTTGAGACCCCAAAAGAGGCGAGCTCGCTCCATATTTGCTCCCTAGCACCCTGTGTTGTTCTTTTATAGCATACGTGGCAGTTGGCTCTTGTATGTTCAATGTCTCTCTTCCTCACTAAATCCCATATCTTGTTTGCTCCTAATTCCAGTGCCTTGGACATAGTCTATGTTCAATAAAAACTTGCCAAATGAATGAACGGGAAAGGGAGGTAGGGTATAAATGGAAACAGCATTTTTTACAGTTGCTGTCAGCTGTTCTATACATGTTTTTTGTTTAATCCTCAGAACAATCTTACAAAGTCTTATTCCTGTATTACAGGGGAAAAAGCTAAAGTTCAAAGAGGTTTGCTCACTGAAGGCCTCACAGCGAATAAAGCTGATATTTAAACTTGGGTCTCTGCCTCCAAAACCCACCCTAATCTGCCATATTATTGTCTCACCTAAGAGCCAAACAGTTTATTTCAGTACACAAATATTTAGTGTGTCTGCATATAGTATAGCATTGTTGACAAGGTTTGGTGTGTCACGTCACAACGTAGGGATCTGAGTGGAAAGTTGTGAAATTAATTTATTCTCTAATTTAACTGAAGATATTAGACATATAAACAATAAAAGGTGAAACCAAAAATATCTTGGTATTAGAGAATGCCCTTGACATTTTAACCTTAATGATCTCGTAGGAGAATCAGACAAGCAAATAGACAATATTTGCAGTACTGTACGATAAGCACTGTTAGAGAGTGCGGAACAGCCTGGCAAGGTGCCTCCCCACCCCAGACTAACATTTGAAAGCAGAATAGTTTTTGTGCTAGGATTTTGCGACAGAGCCTGAAGAGCTTCTCCGTGGGCAGCCACAGAGCAACATCCCTGGCACACATGTGCACAAAAAACCGTCAGCAGCCCACTCTGCAACCCCAGGCAAGGCAGCCACGTCAGGTTCAGAGACCAGCAGGGCCCGAAACTGGGACTCAGGCTTCTAGGAGCAGCAGGCAAGTGAGAGAGCAACCTCAGGGACTGAGCAGAGCACACAGCAGGACAGAGCCAAGATACACATGTGTTTCCTGCACGTGTATTTCCAGGTAGGGTAGGTGTTTGCTGTGCCAAGTGAGTGAGTGCTGTGCCAAACTAGCTGGTTTATGTAGGAGGGATCTCTGCACTGCTGTGCCAGAAATCAGCCAGGAAGTCCAAAGCTCACGTAAGTTAACATTGGTCTATAGTACGAATGATGCCTCATTATGTGTGGCACAGTACGCATCCTAAACACTCATTTATGGTGGCCCTAACTGTCTTTGCTGGACTCCAGTTACAATGACTTCTTCGTTATTCCTGAATCGTATAAAAATGACCGTGCCTCAGGGCCTTTGCACTTGCCTTTTTTCTTCCTGGAATGTTCTTTCCACAGATGGTTCACATTCTCACTTCCTTCACATTTCTGCTCATGTCACTTGATCAGAGTGGCCTTCCCTGAACACTCAGTATAAAGTAGGAGACCTCAACCCCTACCACCCACCAACATCCCTCTCACCTTGCTTTATTTTTCTCCATAGTCCTAATGTTTTTTCTTTGTTTATTAACTGTAACTTTCCTGTAAAATTCATTAGGACAGAGACTTTATTTTGTCCACTGCACTTTCTCCAGTGTCTAAAAACTGTCTAGCACATGGTAGTTGTTCAAAAATCATTTCTTTTGAATGAATAAGTTTTTGTATTTCTAGAACCTGACAAATGGGCAGCCCTATCATGTAATATATATTTATATAATATGTAAATATATAACAGCCTAGCATAATATATATTTATATATAATATAAATATGTAATACTTAGCCCAGCATGAGGCCTTTCACAGTCCCGCATGTGCTCAGCTGACACCGTCATTATCCACCATGCTCCCTTCCTGTCCTAAGGGCTGGCCCCCTGGGACCTCTTCTCTTGCTGTGGCCAAGCGCACCCCGCTGTCACGCCTGCCTTTGCACTGTTCTTCCTCCTTCCTTCTGTATGAAGGGCTGTCCTCCCCGGCCCCTCCGACCCACACCTATCTCCTGCCACGTCAAAGTTGCTATTGCTGACTTATGACAGATACACGAGTGGCTCTTTTTGCTAATATTTTTTCATAATGCATTTAAAATGTCGTTCCATCCTTTGATGTAGTATGTCTCACCCTGAATTGCAGTTGTATATGCCTTGTTCAATTCCTTTCTCCAGCAGTTTCGAGGCATGGTAGTGTTTGACTCATTGGTCTTCATACGATGCCAGATAATAGTAGAGTGATGGCTTCCATTTGTGTGTCTCTTGTGCCCTGGGCACCAGGCTTTTCATGCTTCCTGACAGCTCTTCAAAAACCCTTGCAAGATTGTATCGTTAATGACATTGTAAAGAGTAGGAGATGGAGCTCAGGGAAGAGAAGCAACTCCGCCAAAGCACTAGGCTAGTAAATGTCAGAGCCACACTTCAAACCCAGGACTGCCTGAGAGCGGCATTACAGCTTGTGTTACTTGATGCATGTTTCTCAGGAAGAAAATACCATGCTTTAAAATTGAAATCATATTTCTGTATTCTTCCCCCTTTTTCATGTCTCTAAATGTAACAAGCATTATCTTTGTTAAGAAAATGTTTATTTGCTGTATACATATTCTCTCTCTCTCTCTGTCTCTCTCTCTGTCTCATACACACTCGACTGGTAACTGATTAACCCTGTAACTTTTAAAAAGCTGAGCCCCAAATTTGAGCATTTAACCCTCGTGCACTTAGGCTTTATCTCAAGGAAGAAATAATTTTTGTGACACAAATGCCTTATCTGTTTTTTTCCCCAATAGACAAACAACATTTTTTTTAAGTGCCTTAAAGCTCCAGATTTACTTGGTATTTCCATCTGACTTCAGTAGCTCATCATGACCTGATTGATGGTATTTCATTTTATCCCAAATGTGAAGAAAATACTGGTTCTCATGCATCATTTCATGGAAATATAAGAGTAAAAGCCCTGTCAATTCCCCTGGTGATTTCAAAGTGGGTTGAATAGCTATTAAAAGTAGCTGGAAGTCTTAAGTAGTGCTTTATTTTAAGCATAAGAACATTTCTCATACATTAATGCAATCATTTATGATTTCCAGATGTTTTTAGTTCTTTCACTTAACGATAATATATTTGCTAACATAAATTTCTGGTTACTCCCAAAGAAAATCTTTTGTATAGCTCTGTGCTACTTGAGAAATATATTTGTGAGTAAACACTCTTATAAACATTTTTGTTTATGATTTTATGTGAGAGAGGTGAGTGAGGTAATGGTTGAGTTTACAAGATGTCAAGAGAGGAAGAGGTAAAAAGAATTAATTTCAATGTAATAGAATTACTTCCAATGCATTTTTTTAAAAACATAAAATCACTTAGCTTGAATATCAGCCTTTTGAGGAAGATATTCCTATTCCTCAGATGTCCGACCCTGGTGTAGGTGCCACCAATGAGCAAAACCAAGTGTAACTGAGTATGTAATATTCAGAGTAGATGAATAGTAGGAAAACAAGTTACCATTGCATATTTGTAAGACATAAAGTATGCATCACCGACTTGCCAGCTTTTGACTTTTTTTACTTAAAAAATGTCATGCTCCCTGTGTAATTTTGGCTCATTTCCAGAGTCTGTATTCCTCACTGCTAGCTGAGATGAGATGCCAAACCCCCGTGCTGTTTGAATTTGCGCAACAATGCTTTAATACCCAGAGCTCCTCCATAAATAGTCTGTCCTCCCCATACTCAGCGAGAAAACAACCACAGGAAATCTGGGAATGTGCAGCTACCCCGGCTTAATTGATCTAAGCCTGCAGGGCCAGCAGGGGAGAGTTCGTGTACACAGCCTCTGCTCTTGGCTCTGCGGGACTGTTTCCCTAAGGGGCAAGAAGTCTGCGTGCGAGAAAGACACCATGTTGCTGCTACAGCCTTAGCAACAGCAGTAGCCGAGGTTTTTTGTTGTTGTTTACAGTCGGGAGAGCCATACTCCTTTAAGAAAATACAAACTCCTTACCCTCATTCCTGGCCCCAATCAGTAATCATCAAGACTGTCAGCTGCCTGCAGTTATCAGGAAGAGCAGCCTGAGGAAAGTTAAAGGAACGCAGATGGACAGTCGCTTTTTGCCTGCAAGTGGCCAGCTAGTATCTGGGGGGCATCAAGCCATGCTTTTGATTTCTGTGCCGGGCACATTAGCAGCTGTGCCTTGGGAGCTTTCATCCAGAAGGAGTGGAATTGCTGCAGACATTTTTGGGTTTTGGTGAGTGGTAGAAACCTGGGGACACTGTGCTGTTATTGCAGAGCCCCGCAATGAAGATTCAAGAGCATCCCAGCATATGTGACACCAAGCAGCAGAGAAATCAAGATGCCGATGACCAGCAGGAGAGCTTTGTCTCCGAAGTGCCCCAGTTGGACCTGACTGCATTGTGTGGTGAGAAGAGCTGGGAAGGTAGGGTCGCCCGATACTTGAATGATTTAATATTGAAACAGCACATATCAATAAGAGCACAAATGAGAAAGCATGTAAGGGTGTGAGTGTGTAGATAAGAGAGAGCTGTGCATGCAGAAGTAACTACATTTCTAAATGACGGAAAATCCTTTATCTGGCATTAGAATATCTCAGGTTAAATGTTGCTGAGAGTAGACGCAATCTGAGAAGGAAAATGTGCTTGCCTTTTATCATAATGTCACCTTGTAGTCCTTTTTTTTTTTCTTTTTAACCAGGAATGCTGGTATGTGTGTCCCCCCCTCCCCCACACAAGTAGTACCAAGCAGAGTGATAAGGAAACAGTGTGCATTTAGCATTTCTGCTTTCAGGATACCTGACCCTCCCTCTACTACCTGCCAGCCACCTACCTCCCTCAGTAAACCTCCTTCCCATTTTTCAAGAAAGATTCTGGGTTTGCTTTGTTTCTATGTTTGTTTTTATGGATAGGTTTTTTTTTTTTTTTTTAAATCCCAATTAACGAACTTAAGGGATTTGCTTATCAAAGAGAACACTGAATAAAGGTGCTTCTTACTGGAAGGCTGTAATACAGTGTTTTAGATTGAGTTTTCTAAAGACTTTTGGTAACTACATTAGAAATTTACTTGTGAGGAGAAGAGGGTAGCTTTGTCAAAACTGTATTTCAGGGAGGAGATTGCAGCAGTTTTATCAAGCTGCTTATTCTTTCATTATCCATGTGTCTGCATCCAAACATGTATCAAAGTATATCCAAAATAAATGCCAGTCTGCCTCTATACAGTATGTGTTGGAAGGCTATAGGAGGGAAAAACGGCCCCTGATTTCCAGAACAGCAGCATGACAATGCTTTAGCACAGGGTCACAGCTGCGAAAATCCTTTCAGAGCCTGGATTTCCTTGCCTTCTACTCCTACCCCTTCTCCTCTTTTTTAAACCAAGAAGTACTTTTTTTTAACCAAGAAGTTATGTTAATGATCCTAGGTAAAGGCTCAAGAGGTGATCTGAAAAGACGACAAGGTGAAATAGAGTAACCACGTTATGTTCCTGGCATCCAGGGCTATAGGGGCAAAAAAACAGATAAACTGTTTTTTATTCTAGTTTTCCCTCCTTGCAATCTAAGAAAACTGTTCTAGTTCTTTTTACATAAGTAGTCAGTGGATCTGAGATTTTGTCAGATATTTTCAGCTCATAGTAAATTCACTGAGCAAAGAAAATGTGGGGTGGTTTTGTTTTTAAGTTAAATGATATATTTTTCGGTACTGTTTTGTTCTTCTTTTGTTTTTGTGTACCTTGAAATAATCATGTGTTAGTTTTTAATTCATACATTAAAAACAACCTGCTTCCACCCCAGAAAATTTCCCATAGGAGTCACTCAAATAACTCAAATAAAAGGAAAAAAGCAGTAATCAAAATAAATACTACATTTGAGTCTTAATGATATGGTCTGCCATAAAGCTCTAGATAAAAACTAAGATTTTTGGTCTGAATTCAAATTAGTCACATTTTCTTTTTCTTCTAAAATGGACTCAGTTTCTGATTATTTTTATCTTTATTAGTCATAAGTTTATAATCTCAGCACACTTAAATAGGCTAATGTAAAGCTGAAAATTCTCTCTAGAGTTATTTAAAGCCAAGTAATAGTTTTCTTTAAAGTATTTTATTAATGTAAAGAACTTTCTTCCAGATAAACGATAATAATATGACAGAGCCAACATTTTATTTTGGAAATCTGGATGGATTTTTCAAAAAAGGTTATTATAAAAACATACTTTTCATCTCAGTAGGCTTGGGAATGTGAGTTGTATTGTCCATGTAATTTATGAAATAACTTGCTTTGGTTTTTTTTTGTTTTTTTTGTTTTTTTTTTAACAATACTGCATTTCTCATTGGACTTGCATATCTTAAAAATCTGCATGGAATCATTTCAAGGCCACTTTGATCATTTGGTTACTGCTTTCAGTGACTTTTTTTAAATTACGTATGTATTTTAACTTTACCAGTTAAATTATAACAGTAATACAGCCATATAAGTATAATCTAAAATAAAGGAATTTCTGCATAAAGGGTAAATAAAATGAGAGCAGTTAAATCTGATCACTAAAGTATCACCTTCTTTATAGCTTCAGTAAGATTATAAACAAAAAGGTGGCTTTCCAGTAAGGAAGAAACTTCACACTAATATAGGTTGTGAATGTGAAACCCGTGCAACACAATCTCTGAGTGGAGGTAATAATCACCAAAACCCTACGAACCAGCGTCCACCTTACAGGCCTCCCTCGCCAGTCTTCACGCCTCGAGGTGGTATCACCCCCGCCCTTCGGCTTGGTGGCTCCTTCCTCATGCCCACACCAGAGTTCACGCGCTCTCGTTGATGTGGGATCGGTGGTACTTACTGCAAAAGCGAGCACCAGCGGGCTGTGCGCTAAGCACCGCGTCACCATATGGAAATGATGTTTTCTGGCTTCTGGGGCTTACTGTCAAGGAAACAAAAAGGGAAATGAAACTAACAAATAGATTCTATAGGCTACACAGAATGGAACCCTCTCAAAGTGAAGGTAGGATCAGGGTCTAATTATGCTTGTTGGCAGATACTAACCACGAGCTATCTTTTTTTCTGTATGTAGCTATGTTTTAGGGCACATTATTTATTCACATGACCCTATCATTATTATTATTAGGGTTTCTAGTCTCCCAAGATAAATGAATACACAAATTGAATTATAATTCTGTGTTATTTAAAAACTTTCAGGGTTGCATAATTAGAATGCTCCCAAGCAGTCAATTCATGCTGATTTAGGGGTACCATTTGTGGAAGTACTGAGGTTTAAATTCTCAGCCACTCGATTTATCCTGATGGAATTAAGTTTAAAAGGGCATTTTAAGCTGGGCACAGTGGCACGCACATGTAGTCCCAGCTACTCGAGAGGCTGAGGCAGGATTGCTTGAGCCTAGGAGTTTGAGACCATCTCAAAATAGTGATATTTCAATGCAGAGGGGGAGGGGAGGCATTTTTAAAAGGGATAAAGTACTTTGTATGTCTCACTCATCACTTACTGCTTATTGAAAATAACTTGGAAAGGAAATTCTCAAAAATATCATAGATAAGAAATCTTAAAAGATCTTTCAGCTGACCCTTCCCATCACACAGATAAGCCGAGGCCAAAAGAGGCAAAATAATGATTCAAAGTTGTGAAGTCTCCTGACTTGTACGTGATGTTTCTTTCTAAACAATACCAGTTGTATCATGGCAGGCAGTAAAGCAAAGAGCCAGATTCCCTGGGTTCAAATCCTGTCTGTGCTGCTCAACCTGTTAGTAAACCTGTCTCAGTTTCGGCCTTAATTTCCCCATCTTTACATAGGTATAGTAACAGTAGATAATAATGAATAATTGATATAGTAGTATCTACTTAGTAAGTTTGCTGCAAGAATTAAGTGAGCTAAGATATGCAAAGTGCTCAGCACAGTGTGGGCATAATGTGGGCACATAGTAGGAACTATGTGAGTGTTAGTTGTTGTTACCTTTCATAAATATTTCCAAGCATAGTTTCAGGAAAAATCAGCCTAAGTTTGCTTTTTTGAAACCAGAGCCCAGTTCTACCTAGTGACCATGGATAGGTCTGAACACAGATGAGGAATCAGTAATTACTGGGTCCTCTACACCTTTACAGATTTACTGAGGACTAACCATGTCACACCAACCTCCTTTCTTTTTGTTTTTTCTTTTTGTTTTTTTTTGGATACAGAGTCTTGGTCTGTCACCCAGGCTAGAATGCACTGGCATCCTCATAGCTCACAGCAACCTCAAACTCCTGGACTCAAGCGATCCTCCTGCCTCATCTCCCCAGTAGCTGGGACTACAGGGGCTTGCCACCATGCCCAACTAATTTTTCTGTTCTTTTTTAGTAGAGACAGGGTCTCACTCCTGCTCAGGCTAGTCTTGAACTCCTGAGCTCAAGAAGTCCTCCTGCCTCAGCCTCCCAGAGTGCTAGAATTACAGGCGTGAGCCACTGCCCGTTGCATTAGGGAAATGGTGCATTTGAAAAGACCTTTGCTGGACCTTTCACAGGGCCCTGATGACAGCCTTGTCAAGAGATGGGAAAGAGTTAGAAGACAGGTAGGGCTGTGCATTAGTAATGGATTAAGCAGCTGCACTTAAATGTGCAGATAAATGGATCAAAGTCAACTCAAATGGGGGAATTATCATTAGGTAAAGTCCTCAGCCCTATCCTGTTCCACACATTTATTAATGATTTAAATAGAGCTATTAAGGGCCTGCTTATTAACTTTGTAAATAGAGGCAGAACAGATAAATGAAATTTAAGGATTAAATTTGTGATTGATAAAGCTGATTGCTACGGTTCCTTCTAAGTGATAGTTTGTAAGACGGTTCAGACAATTTAAGAGGACTGCCATTGTTCTAAGGTTAAATTTTGGAACACTAAACAAAATTTTCTAAAAGGGATCCCCCAGTAAAGAGCCTCCCCAGGAGGGCTTGCTTCCTTCTACATTCAGGATAAGCAAGTACCTCCTAGCTCAGCTGAGAAGAAAGTTACGACATCATGCCAAGTAGTAATTGTTCTAAATAACACAGTTGGAAATGAAATGTGGAAAACATCAGCTCTCTTAATTCTGTGCAGATTTCTTAGAAATAAATCATCTCAATAGCCAGTTTTCTTTTGTATAGTAAGTGGATTCAGCCAGCTAAGCAGAGAGTGACTATGTCACAATGACCACATTAGCATTACTCAGAGATACATTTCCTCTTCCTACAGTGAATTTCCTTTTTTCCATGTGTACTATATTGTGTGAATTAGAACTCCCCCAGGACCTATTCTTTTTCATTACTTAGGTAGCAAGCATGCAGCTTTATCTCTGTTATTTGTGACCTGCTGTGATGTCAGCTGACCTGGTGGCTTAATTTTTAATAGACATGTCATACTTATGTCCAGAGTTCATTGTGACTGGACACATAACTAAAAGCAAAATCAGTGTACCCAAGGAATTTGGGTCTACATAAGAAAATACATTTATTTTATCTGGTGGTTTAGGAAGACAGTCCAACGTAAAGCCTCACATCTTTTGTGTTTCCCTTTGAATAATTTTCTTGCAATATTCTCTTGTCTCTTTCCTTGCTCTAGAATTACTGGTTAAACTATTTTCCAAACTAGCAATTGGGAATGGTCAGTGAATACATCCTCAAAACTGGCTCTCTAGGCAGGTAATGCAATTGGACATATTATGTACCACGCTATTCTTATTTAGTTCTTTCTTGTTTTTCTAGTTGAGTGCCAACTATCAACATGAGACAGCCTTGTATTTTTAGATCATTTCAAACTCAAACGGGAGAATAGTTGATTTTATTGATTGTTTAGTCATATTGAACTATGTATTACATGTCATTTTATAACTCTTTTTTGAGTAGGAGCCTTAAATTATAAGCCTGTATAGAATGTCAGGAAAGAGAGAAAAAGGAGAGAGAAATCACATAAGCATTTCATGTTGCACAAGTGAAAAACTTTTCAATTCTGTTCTACCTGCAGGCTAATGATGAAACATTCCTTTTTATTTTGTTAAAGCTAAAATTCATAATGATTTTATATTTCTCATTTTTAAAGAAGTGAATTCATTTGATCTAACTATGTGCTTTAAGAGAAAATGTCACCTCTAAGCTAGAATTTCTTCAGCTATATTTACTATATACTATTGGTGATACTCAAAAAAGGACACATTTGATCTTTCTGTCCGTGAAATGATTGGTCAGGAATGGAGCCACAAAACAAGAAACAAGAAAATTGACGGATGGCCCTGCGTTAGCCACAAAGCACCAAATAACGATAATTCATTTCCATGATTAGTAGTTTATAGTGATTTCAATATCACAATTTCTCTTTTATTGGAGACACATTTGGTTAATGGGCACAGACACACTCTTTTAGTAAAATTTTTTATGCAAAGAGACCATCTGGTTGAAAACCGAAGATTAGTTGTAACATTTTAAAAGAGATATCCTACTAGATTCAGACAAATTGAAGGGCTTCAGCATGTAAGGCAACACCTTTTCAAGCTAAATTTTAATGAGTAGAAGTGTCGAATTAACCAGCACACCCATATGCCAAGATCAACATGAGACCTCATCTTGCCAAAGCCCTCTGTCCCTGCAGGCTGCGTGCCCTCCCCGGTTGCTTTGCTCCCTTTGCCACCCTTTGGCAGGTTATCGCCTGCTGCATTACTGTTCAAGCCACCTTAACCCTTTCCCTGGCTCAGTTAATTTTAGTCCTTGCAGAAAATTCCTGCTGTCTTATACCATGGGAGAGAAGATGCAGCCTGGTTACTTTAATAGCTCCATTTTCTACAACTGAACACACATTTTTTGTTTTTCCTAGGAGTTGCTTTCCACTTGCTCCCTCCTTCCCTCACCTCCCAGTCCACTTTTTATTCTCTTTTGTCAGCAGCTCTGAGCTGCTCACGCTTGAGCCCCACCGCTTAGGAGGAGCAGACTGATAGTGTTAGCACAAATGATGAAACACCTCCTGTTCGTCTCCAGCCTTAGCCAAGTATATCTACCAACATATTCTCTGCCACTTTTTGAGCCTCATTAGATAAGAATCTGTCTTTAACACTGCTTTCATTTTTCAAAATATTTATATTTTCATCTGTGTTCCCAAATAACTTGGTTCTCTTGAAATTTTGAGAACCTGTGAGCCTCCTTCCATATGAGGCTAATTTTTTTTTTGTTGTTTTCTTTTTTTTCTTTTTTTTAAGACTAGTCAAGTGCAGTAGTGAGGAGGGGGGTTAAGTAGGAGAACAAGGAGTTCAACCTGTAACTGACTGTGAACAATCCAGTGAGATAACTCTCTACCTTCGGACCAGCCAAGGCTAATTTTTTTAATTAATGTGCTTATCTTCGCTGTTAGACTGTGGAGTCTTCAGAAATCTCGGACAGTCGTCACTGTTATGGAAGCACTTGGCACATTGTAAACTGAAGCACCTATCTGGAAGTCAGGAGGCTTTGCTTCTAGTCTCAGTTCTTGGGGTTTCAGTTTCCTCCTTGTCTGTCACCTGTTGGTTTGGATCAGTGGCTCTCAAACCTGGCTGCGCGTTAGCATGGCTTGGACCGGGGGAGCACACTGGGCCCTCACCTAAATATTCCGTTTACGTGGGTGGTGCGAGGGCCTCTGTGCTAGTGGTCATTTAAATCTCCCCTTGTGACTCTGATGTGCCCTCAGGGCTGAGAAATCACAAGATCGAATGACGTATGGAGTCACACTCAGCCCTAACATTCTGCAGTTCGAGTACAGTCTTTGTAGATAGAAGGCTGCATAAGCACCTATTTAAGATAATTTTGTACATCTTATAATATGGTAGTTGAAGGAGCAACAGTTGATGATTCAGACTCTAGGAATCCCAGAATTTAGGATCATGGCCAGATTCCAGCCTTGTGTAATCATGGTAATCCACAAGTGAATTTAAAGCATAACTTTTTTTTAATGCAAAGTATTACAAATGAAATACCCTATATCATTTGAGATCTATCTTTAAAATCTTTTAGATGGGATTTTTCAATATGAGAAGGTATATACGGAGGTGAGTCTTGCAGTAAGTAGATTTAAACATCACCCCCTTTTCTCCCAGAATGACAGGTCAGGATTTTGTGCTGAATATGTTTTTCTCTTACACATTGTCTAAAATAATTTGTACAGATTTGTCCTTTGTAAGGATTTCTTTTTTCTCTTGACTAATTTATGCATGCATCTCACTCTAACTGTAGTCTTGAGTGGCTTCTGAAGTTTCAAGTGCAAAGCATGCATCTTAAGCGTGCTAATCCCAGCGCACTAAGCAGAAGCACACAAAACAGCTTACCAGATGACCTGAAAGAAAGTTGTAAACTCCCGAATCAATAGGCTTTCACAACCTTTATGTGATTCTTTAGCCTGAATCCTTCCTTAGTTGTTTTTAAGGATGTATATTCATGATACCAAATATCTCCCTCCCTGACACACTTGCTTTTATTTTCAATAATGTCCTCACGTGGAAAAGTTATTATCACTGATCTGCTGGGCTCGTGACCTTCAAGGCTGTTCCTCAGGGCAGTGCTAGCAAATTCCCTTTGAAAGCGAGAATGGGGATAAAAAGTAGGTGATGGCTGTCAGATATATCGGTGATTTCCATTGAGGCATAGTGTCCCCAGTCTGGACCTTAGATCTAAAATGGGAAGCCATTCAGTGGGCAGCTTCCTAAAGCATTCGGGAAACCTGGGGAACGAGCGTGCTTTAAAGAACAGTCCTGACCTCTTCCCACCTTATTTTCCAGAGCCCATGCCCGCTTTCTCCTCCTGGCACAGGGAGAGCATCGACCCTGACGAAGCCCGCCTCTCCCCGCAGGCCGGGCGGCTGATTCGTCAGCTGCTGGATGAAGACAGCGACCCCATGCTCTCGCCTCGGTTCTACACGTACGGGCAGAGTCGGCAATACCTGGATGACACAGAAGTGCCTCCTTCTCCCCCAAACTCCCATTCTTTCATGAGGTATGTTCTCTGCTGCTGATAAGAAAGTGGCGCATCCCCACAACATTAGGAAAGATAGGAATGGCGCTGATGGCCGGTAACTTTTTAAAAATTAAGTCGTGAGTCTGAGGAGAAACATGTGAGATTCTCCATCTTAGTACACAGGCTGTGTTGTAGTTTTTCACTCGAACTGTGGTCCAACTGCCGTGTCAATATTGAATTTTCTTAGCACCTTCTTCCCAAAGCTCTGTCAAATTTAACTTTTAGGCCCAAAGCAAAGGTAGACATTCAGCGCTGCCTTTGCTAATTGTAAATGTGAGCTAGAAAGGGTTAGACATACTTAATAGGTGGGACATACAAAGCTCAAAGTCACAAAATGAATCCGTCAACCTCTCCTATTCAAGAGGGTGGAGGCTGTTTTGTCCTCCTCCTCCTTCGTGCCCTGCGGCGTCCCCTGACCCCAGAGCCCCTCAGCAGGCGGTGACCGCTCGTGGGGAGGCTGACCCGAGTCATGTTCCCCACAGGCGGCGAAGCTCCTCTCTCGGGTCCTACGATGATGAGCAGGAGGACCTGACACCTGCCCAGCTCACACGGAGGATTCAGAGCCTTAAAAAGAAGATCCGGAAGTTTGAGGACAGATTCGAAGAGGAGAGGAAGTACAGAGTAAGTGCCCCTCCCGCCGTCCTCGTCTCCGCCTCGCCCTGACGCGCCAGCCTGTCAGCAACTCACAGAAGCGATAAAAGGTTAAGGGAGATTTCTAGGGAATCTCAAAACAAAAGGGCAGAAAAAACTGGATAGCAAACCCGGATAAACCCCACTCATCATGCATTGGCATTTGTGCCCTTCTTGCCCAAGTGTTTTCTTACAAGTAAATTGAAAGTTTAAGTCTACATTTTATAAATTTGTCAGTGAGCAAGAATGGCAAAAAATTATTGAATGAAATCTTTAGTCTGGCCAAAACTTAATTCAGTATATCTCCCAACATTTCATTAGTACTGAGCTCATTCTACCCTCAGCTGTATCCTTAGAGTTTCCCACAAGAGTAGCAAAAAGACATTCTTCATGGTGGTTGCCGTGCAAAACGTTATCTTCTCCTCTGTTTTCTACTCTGTTGGCCCTGCAGGCTGGCCTCTACAAATAATGGAAACATGGACCTCACAGGAGTTCCTGGTCATAAAAATCCGGCATTTTGCCTCTGAGGAATTCTGTGAAAGTATCAAAAATAACCATATTAAAGGAGGATAGTGAATTCCACTTACGACATTTGTATTATTGATCATGGTTTTTTACCCTGATGGGACTCAACTTTTCCTTCCTATTTAAAACAGAAATGATCAAACACTTCTTTTTTTTTTTTTTTTTTTTACCCTGCCCCAGTTCCAAAACGTTGACTCTGCACTTCCTTTTCTCAGCCTTCCCACAGCGACAAAGCAGCCAATCCAGAGGTTCTGAAGTGGACAAACGACCTTGCCAAATTCCGAAAACAACTTAAAGGTGGGTGAAGTTCTGGACCTGCACCGTGGCGTCTGCACAACTAGAATCCATCACCTCCCCTCGTGCCGGGCGCCACTGCTCAGGTGTTCCAGGCTCCCTGGAGACGCTTCCCCGTGTTCTCGGTCATTTAGGGTGGCCACTTCCCCATGTCTCCCTATGGTCTCAGTCATAGGGCAGCTAGATCAGCTGAGATTCCGCAGCATTTCTTCATTTTCCTAAATCACTAGTAGAAGAAGAGTGGTTTCAAGTCAACACATCTTAAGCACCTGTTTAATCCAAAATTTCATTTTCTGGTGTGTTAGGAGCAAACATATAGACACAGAGAAGAATCTGAAAAGGATTTGGCCCTGTCCTTCAAACAACTTGCAGTCCTGTAAGAGATGGAGTCATATAAACAACTAAATAGAATACAAAATAAAGATAATTTCAAAATGATGCATATAAGCCATACAGGAAAAGCTGGCCAGGGGTTAGGCATTAGATCAGTAAATACCTTTAAAAACTTAGGGAACAGGTATGGAAAGGCATCTGCCCCACTCTGAGAACAACACACAGGATGGTGTGGGCAGAGCGTGGATGGTAAATAGCCAAAGCTTTCTCAGGAGTTAGGGTTAGGGAAACATTCCACATAGTCCACAAAAACATTATCATTATCTCAGGTTTTACAAAACAACTCGAGGATTTCTTCTGATACAGTAATTAGATGCTCTCTGAAAAATGACAGCACTGAGCAGTTATTGACACCACAGCAAAACAGTTTGTGTTCAGCAGACTCAATTCTCATATACCTCTGCCCCCAAATCTTCTCAACTAGAGTCAAAACTCAAGATATCTGAAGAGGACCTGACTCCCAGGATGCGGCAGCGAAGCAACACACTCCCCAAGAGTTTTGGTTCCCAGCTTGAGAAGGAAGATGAGAAGAAGCAGGAGCTGGTAGACAAAGCAACAAAGCCCAGCATCGAAGCCACGCTGGAGTCTATCCAGAGGAAGCTGCAGGAGAAGCGAGCGGAGTCCAGCCGGCCTGAGGACATTAAGGTGCGATGATTCCATGACATCCCCAAGTAACTGCTGCTCCTCAGCCTTTGGAGCCCACACGGTAGAAACACGGGCATGCCGCCCGCATCCCCACGGGAAGGTGATGCCTTTGTGAACCTGCCACACTCCTACGTGTCTGGAGAGGCAGATGAGACAACTGCAGAGTGTCCACTATGGGTACTTTGGTTTTTGACTGCAGATTGAAAGCAGAAAACTCTATTGTATTATGTATATTGCAGAATGAACTTGGTTAATACCTGGTTTGGTGACTTTCTGAGGTAGAGGAATTATAGGCAAACCTTGGAGACTGTGTAACCTGTAACTGTGGTCATTGCTTGGGCCATCAGGCTAAGCCCCATGTGCCTGACAGCCCTGCTCCCCTCACTATTCAGCATGCCTCTGTGGCTGCGTGGGACATCAAGGAGCTGCGGTGGCTCTGCTGTGTTGCCCATGTTGCTAGCAAGAGCTCAGGAAGAGCTCATTCCCAAGTGAACTTTGGATAGAGCTAGGGAGAGCTGTTGTAAGAGGATTCTGTTTAACGTGCTTTGGTAGATTTGTTTAAATAAAAAAGCTGGAATATTCACAAATGTTTTCCTTCTCTTTCATTTCTCTGTCCCTGTGTTTATACAGGATATGACCAAAGACCAAATTGCTAATGAGAAAGTGGCTCTGCAGAAAGCCCTGTTGTATTACGAGAGCGTTCACGGCCGGCCGGTATGTGGCGTACTGGATGTTCTGAGTGGGGTCAGTTATCTGGCGTTATAAACAGATTTTCTATGTTCAGTATCTTGCAAATGGGGTTCTCTAATGTTTGCTTTCTTTACTTTTAGAATAAAAGGAAGTTACTATATATTTACACAATCACTAAGCTTTCTGAAGGCTTAGCCAATTAAGAGTTCTACTACCTAGTAGATTCTGAACTTAATTGAGCTCCAACGAAAAATTCATTTGTACCTAAAATTTAGTCATTAGTGTACTGCTTCAAGGGGGGAAAGGTAAAGGGGTTGGAGTGTAAGGTGCATAGAGCCCTGGAGCGAGCAGATTTCCGTGTTCCTATGTCTGCTTCCATGAGCTGTCACTGGCTCTAGGTTTTCTCATCCATAAAATGAAGGTGTTAAACTAGAATGAGCTGCCCTAAAATTTGGTCTCTCTGCAATGCATTTGCAACCAGTGTCTGTCTGTAAAGAAGTTCCAGCTGACATTCAGAACTAAAAGTGAGAAAAATCCAAAATATGGCTTTGCCTTTTCATAACAACAGGAAGCATCTGAGGTGCTTTGTTATTCAGTAGCATGTATTGAATGTTTGTTGTTAGCTGTAGGAATAGGCTTCTGCTGTCTTCCTTGAGGAACTTATAATCAGACATCCTGCTTGTCAGTTACTTTTAATAACCTTCTGTTCAGAATGTTACCAAGAACACAAAAAAACAAATTCTTAAAAGAAGGTATAAGGAAGCATTTACGTTTACAGATGAATTTTTATATAGCCAAAAAGCATAGATCTCTTTTCCACTCTCAGTCATAATTTTTTTTTTTTTTGAGACAGAGTCTCACTCTGTTGCCCGGGCTAGAGTGCTGTGGCGTCAGCCTCGCTCACAGCAACCTCAAACTCCTGGGCTCAAGCAATCCTCCTGCCTCAGCCTCCCGAGTAGCTGGGACTACAGGCATGTGCCACCATGCCCGGCTGATTTTTTCTATATATTTTTAGCTGTCCAATTAATTTCTTTCTATTTTTGGTAGAGACGGGGTCTCGCTCTTGCTCAGGCTGGTCTCGAACTCCTGAGCTCAAATGATCCACCTGCCTCAGCCTCCCAGAGTGCTAGGATTACAGGCGTGAGCCACCACGCCCGGCCAGCTCAGCCATAATTATATAATGGATATAGTCTTTTCATCTAAAATATGTTCTTTTAAATAAAGGATTCTGGGCATTGCTCACCTAGTGGTGACCCTAATCCTCAGCCTCTAGCACAAGACCTGACACATGACTGGTGCCCGGTAACTATCTGTAGAATGCATCCTCCATGGCATTTTGGTTCTGAAGTACCAGGTTTAAACTTAAAAAAAATAAAAATACTGGAACTGATGACTGGTTTTGCTGGCCTGTCCCTGCAGTGGAAAAATACTGACACTCTGGGATAAGGTTCATGTTTTAGCTAAGTTTTGTATTAGATTTTTTTTTTTAAAGGCATCAAACCAAATAGTAAATGCTGTAAAGTTTCACATTGTGAAACTTTGTCCTCTGCTGGAGTATCCAGAACTTGCAGAGGGAGAACTGAACTTCTTTTAACAGAGATATAAACCCCTTCTCCACGGGAGGCTCAGAACCCCAGAGTACAGATCTCCTGGTAGCCACTACACAGGCCTCGGTGAAGGAGGGGGGAGTTACGTGTTTCTCTTCCTCAGCATTTCTTCTTTCCATTGTATGGATTCAGGCTATGACACTGATAGACTCGTTTAAGGACTGAGGCCCCCAAGAGCTCACAGCTGCGCTCTAGGTGGACTTAACCTTGCTGCCAATTCAGTGGTAGGTGTGCTAGTGTGTGTTGCTCTGAGTTGGGAACAGAGTCTCTCATTCCGCCTCAACTGGGGCAACGTGCAGACACTGTGAGTCTTAGAGTCGGCAGGCTTAGATTCTCAACCCAGCCCTGCTGAGACTGGCCCTGTGACGTTGAGCTACTTAGGTAACCTCTCGGAGCCTTGGTGCTTTCTCTGTGTAATAGATGTCTGCTATAGGTCGTCATGGAGACTACATGACATTACAGACACACAGACGTTTATCTCTGTATTTACCTGTAGGATGTCTGGCACTGAGGGAGTGGGGTGGGGTGGCTTTCAGGGTTGCACAGTAAATGATAGTTTTCACTTCCGTTACAATTATATGTTATGCTCTCTGTGGCCTATTTCCAATTAAATGATTAAATCAGGAAAGAACTGTTTGAGGAAAGCAACCTTGCGGTTAATGCTAATGTTGGCCATAAATTTCCAAAGTATATTATGAATCATCAAACTTGTGTGATGTTAGTAAAATTGTTGGCTGTTTAAAGTTCATTGTTTCTGTTGCCCATCTGAGCTTGTTCTAAAAGGGATCAGAGTGTGCCACCCCAAAATCGTGCCTAATTGGCATAAGGATTATTTTGAGCTGAAGGCAATTGAGACTCAAAAGACGTAGGAAGAGTTCTACCTTTTAGGTGTTATCTGCCTATGGTAAGGCATGCGCTGAACTTGGGGGAAGGCTGCCCCCCTTATACCAGGGAGAGAAGAGCTATTCTTACGGAGGACGGCCACCACCGAGATGAGTATGTAGAAGTAGACTCACACAATTAACAAAAATTAGTATAAACATCTAATTGGGCTTTTTCTAGAATTAAGGTTAATTTCCTTATAGTGATAACACAGAGGGGACTTGTGGTATCTCAGAGACCCCATCTGATTGGTTGTAGGGAATCTCGTATTTTTTAGAAAATGACCCATGTTAAAGATCAGTACATGAGGTGCAGCGGTGCATCTGTAGTCCCAGCTACTCAGGAAGCTAAGGCGGAGGGATCCCTTGAGCTCGGGCTGCAGTGAGCTATGCCTGGGCAACACAGAGAGAGCCCATCTCTAAAAACATAGTCCATGGCACACACCTCAGAGCTAAACTATTGTTCCAAGTTGCAATTTTTTAGAGAAGCGGGTGCTCTGGATTTTTGCTTAGTCCACAGATACTGATTTAAAAGGGCACTAACTATTAAAATCTCATGCCCAAACCTTTATCCGCTGCTTCTGTACATTTTTTAGCAAAGCTGTTTGCTGTAACGGGGCACTCTGCAGAGGGAAACACGTATGAAAACATACCATGTTCACACGGGCACGTGATTCCCTGTTAATTATTACTAAAGTGTGTCCTTTTCGGCATTTAAGGATCTTATCAAAAGACCACGTCACAGACAGAAGTGCAACAAATGACTGAGCTCACTCTGTGCGTCCTACTCTAGAGGATGGGCTGCCTGCTCAGAGCCCTCTGGCTGCTTCTTGAGTCTCTTCCCCACTGGTGTATTTCGATCTTGTGTTTTATAACTTGGGGACTAACACAACACTACACATAGCCATGTTCAAACTGAAATGCAAATTACGGAGCCTTAAATACTGTCCTTTCGTTAGCTGCTATTTTGGATATTCTGATCTTTGTACAGACAGCCTACTAATATTATCTGATAATGAAAGAGGGAGAGTTGCCATTTTCCAAATTAAAAGACCAAGAACGCACTGATTATAAGAATCCATCTCATTTTGTCTTCTCGAACAGTTTCATGACTCAGAGGTATACCCCTCCACACACCAGCTCAAACCACGTTTTGTTTTACTAAGAAGATTTTGCGGCAGTGTAGTTTCTTGTCTGTCCGTACCACAATTTCTCACAATGCTGTGCTTCTATGCACGATTCGTAAGCAAAGATTGTTGTAAACTCAGGCCGCACTCTCAGCTTGGAAGGCAGAGTTCTTTCTACGAAGAAGACAATTTGGTCAAACCCTATTCGAAGATAAGCTACGTCGCCACACGGTGTCAAAGATCCTGTTGCACTTCCTGTCTTATTTGTGAAAGGAAACTGAACTAGCAGTAGGTAAACCTGGGCTCCTGACCCAGCTGTGTTGCCTCAAGGAAATCATTACCCTCTCTGGTGCTTAGTTCTATCATCTAAAAAAAATAAGGCTTTTCTACCTCTGATATTCCCTGGTTCTAATTTTATCTTTATCTTCCAAGTAAATATGTCAGTTATTTTACCTTTCACCTTTGTGGTTCTGTCCAGGTAACAGCAACCAAATTGGTGTTTCTGTAGTTTTATTTAAGGCTAAGACAAAAACCATTACAAAAGCTAAAGACAGACAAGTGCAGCTGCCTCATCAGGCCATTATGATTTCTGTTCAAGACTTGGCTCTAATTAAATGTGGGTAGTTATTGGCTAGTGTTCCCTTTGTGTTTTGATGTATTTTCTGAGACTTAAAGCAACCAAATAGAGTTGTAAGAGACCAATAGGTGGAAATTTCTTGGAATCATAAGGTAAGAGAGTGTGGAAGTGCTGGCTTCTCTCTTCAGATCTTCTTGTCTAGATATTTATGTTGTTTGATTGATATGCAAAAATACTTCTTAATAATAACCATTTCCACACGTTGAAAAACCATTCATCACTACCATTTACATGAAAATTAAAGTTTTAAAGCAAGAGGAATGAAATTACTTTGAAGAGACAGTATACTACATGCTTGGCCTAAAGTTATTTCCAAGCAACTGTGGATCATAAAGATTTTCTACTATGGCTGGGCGTGGTGGCTTACACCTGTAATCCCAGCACTTTGGGAGGCCAACGCGGGAGAATTGCTTGAGGCCAGGAGTTTGAGATCAGCCTGGGCAACATAGTGAGACCGCATCTCTATAAAAAAATAGAGAAATTAGCTGGCCATGGTGGCACATGCCTGTAGTCTCAGCTACTTGGGAGGCTGAGGCAGGAGGATCGCTTGAGCCTAGGAGTTGGAGGTTGCGGTGAGCGCTGATCATGCCACTGCACTCCAGCCTAGGCAACAGAGTGAGATCCTGTCTCAACCACCCCCCCCAAAAAAAATTCTAATCTGAATCATGGGTCCTGTTCTTAGTGATCAGCAGAATCTCTGAGCAGCTGATGACTCAAGAATAGGAAATACCAACTTCCAAACAGTTTTCCTGTGGTCCCTTTAACACCAGCTGGCCCTTTATCTGTAGTTCAGTCAGGGTCGTGATTTGTTCACATAACTATCGGGTTAGATTGTGCCTCGACTCACAAACCACTGATAATTCGTATGATGGTTGGAAGTCGTAGTAACATTTAGTATCACCAAGACTTTGACTCCAAATATATATCATGAAAATAATTCTGATGTAAATCAAGTAGTATTAATTCTTACCTTTCTGTCACCTCAGACTTAAAGGTGTTTGACACTTTTGGTGTTCAGATACTTCTGTCAAATGCCAATGTTAAGTTTGGTACAATCATGATGCGTTTTAACTCATGTAGTCAAAAACTGGATTTTCACCCACTCGTGATTATTTCCTGAGAGTCACTAATTAAAACATAAACAATCACAGAAAATCTAAATGTCAATGTCATGAGCCAAAGAATTAAACCAGTGATGATCTTCATCTATTCCAACTAGAAAACTTGGTTTTTGGACAAAGAATTAGGATAACGGATTCTGTTATGTTTGTTGTACTTGGTTAATTTTACCAGCTAAGTCTCCTTCTACATCCAAAGATGCTTCTGCCAAGTTGCTAATAATTGGATGCGAGTCCACAATGCAGAAATGCTGGCTCCTTTTTATTATTTCTATTTTTAGTATGTCTTTGGTCACTCAACCATCTATTGTTTATCTTACATATTATGTTTCATCACATACCATGTGTTGACAACATTAGGATGTGTCTTAATCTCATCTGCAACATATTTAATGGATACATCTTGTATTGAAAAAATTATTTCATGTGTTCCAGTCCTAAATTTTGTCCTTTGATGTGCGACATTGTACAAGTCACTTGGTTTCTGTTCCTCAGGCTTATTTGTTGCTATTGTTGAACTTTTGTTAAATTACAGGTTGGGCATCCAAAATCAGAAATGCTCCAATGAGCATTTCCTTTGAGCACTCAGCACTCAGAAGGGTTCAGATTTTCAGACTTGAGCTGCTCAACCTGTATTGCATAAATACAGAAAAGAGCCCCAATTATAAATATATGTCTTGATGAAATTTCAAAAAGTAAACAAACTCAGGTAACCAGCACCCAGATCAAAAAACAAAATGTTGCCACTCCTCCAGAAGCTGGAAGCCGTCCTCACATTCCATTCCGGAAGTGACTCTCGGTCCCACCGAGGAAAACCACCATCTTGACTTTTAACCCTGTAGATTTGTTTTCTTATTTTTGACCTTTATATAAGTGGAATCTTGCAGTATGTATTTTTGTGTGTCTGGCTTATTTCACCCGGCTTTGTTACTGTGAGATCAGTCTGTGATGTTACGTATAGCTGTGGTTCATTCGTCCTCATTGCTGTGTAGTATTTGGGGAACATACCTTATCTGTTCTGTTGTTGATGGGCATGTGGGTGGTTTCCATTTTGGGGCTATTATGAGTAGCATTGCTACGAGCATTCTTGTATGTGTCTTTTGGTGAACTTAAGGCCACATTTGTTGGGTATATACTTTAGAGTGGAATCAATGAGTCCTAAGTTCAGCTTTAGTAGGTACTACGGAATAGTTTTCCAAAATGTTCCACCCATAGCAGCAGAGAGAGAGTTCCGGTTGTTCAGCATTCTTGTTGACACTTGACATTGTCTTCTCATTTTAGCCATTGTAGTAGGTATGTAGTAGTAACACCTGTGGTTTGGTCCTCAGTTGTCTTCATATAAAGTAATTTGAGTTCCCTTCCAGTTTTGACAGCCACTTTTAATGAAATACCAACTTTAAAACTCCTTTTAGTATGGTAGATAGTAGAAGCAGGAAAATGCCAACTGCCCTTCAGTATTGCAATAATGGAAGAGATAGAAATAAAAGGTTATTATTATTGGTAATGATAGAAAATAAATCCACAGACTGTATCGCATGGTGGCAGTACCCTATCCTAACTTGTGAAGTTTATCTAAAGTGTTTTCACCGTCGATCACTTTACAACAGGCAAATGCAAAAGGCAACAAAGGATAATCCATTTATGCATAATCCAGAGCTGTCTTTGAAATTGAAGACCCAAAATACCCATAGGAGAAATGGCCAAAGCTAGTACTACTTGCCCGCCCTTACCTCTAAGATACTCTTGCCTTATATGTGTGGAATGGTACTAGAACACAGAAGACAAACAACTAACGCGAAACAAAGATAGTCCATGTCATTCTCCATTTAAATAACCAAAGGAAATGTGTGCATACCTGTGAATTGGGCGTACCTACTTATGTTTGAAATATTCACTCGTTTCACAGATACTTATGGATATTTCCATTATGTCAGGCACTGAAACAGTTGCTAGGGATACAAAAACATAAACTCCTGCTCTCAAGAGGCCACGATCTAAAGGAGACAGATGTATCAACAGATAGTTCCTATGGAGTATAAAGGTGTTTGTGAAGTTACAGGGTACACACAGTGTGGTGCTGACACAAATGAGAAAATGAGTAAGTCCCCAGAATGGGAGATGCTGGAAGAAGTCTGCACAGAGGGGTGGCTCTTGATCTGGCATTTGCCAAACAAAAGAGCACAGAGAAGCCGTTTTGGGGCAGAGGGAATTAGACAAGGAGGTGTGAGACGACCTAGTTTATTTCTAGAGCTGGAGGTGTGATGGGGAGGAGAAAAGCAGCAAGTAGATGACGAGGGGCTTGCAACGCTAGACCAGGGAGTTGGGCTTGACTTCTCCCCACTGCTCGGAGAATCAGTCCTCTAAGTATTTTCGAGCCCTGTGCCAGATTTTAGGGATGCACAGATAAATCAGTTCATGTATTTTTCATCAAATGTTCCTTGAATACCTAGTTTGCCAGAATCTTGTTTTTAAAAACACAATTTCATGGGGGAGAAAGACAAGTAAATATAAGAACTTGATTACAGAACTACACGATAAGTACTCTATTACAAATGCACACTTCCTTCTTTCCTAGACCCAGAAAATGGGAATCTGGCAACGCCGAACCTTGAGTTTTAAGCAGAGATCTGAGAGTGATCATAGCTGTGATTTAGAAAAAGCAATATTACAATTAAGCAGTTTCCACTAATCATCGGCTGAAGTATTTTAAATATTTAGTGAATAAATAATATCATCAGTTTGAGTAATTTTGTGAGACTAGTAAGACTGAAGTTGCGTCACCTGGAGCAGAAGGGCGGAGAGCATGCCGGCACAGCTGGCGGCGTGAGCCCAGGAGCAGGCTCCTCAGCTCTCTCGTTCTTGTTTCTCAGGTCACGAAGAGTGAACGTCAGGTCATGAAGCCACTGTACGACAGGTACCGGCTGGTGAAACAGATCCTGTCCCGAGCCAACACCATACCCATCATTGTGAGTACGGTGCCTTTCTGTCGTCGACACAGAACCTTTCTCCTCGAGTAGGCCCTGGATAGATTAACAGCCTCCTCACTGAAGAGTCGGCTTTAACAGCTGAATCAGTCATTAATACCCATGACCCCCAAGCTTGAGGAATGAAAACTTTACCAAAGACTTGCCAAAACTGAGCAAATCTAAAGCTGATAGAATTTTTCCCTTTTGAGATACGTGCTTTGGCTGTATACATCCATCTGACATGTGCTGGCCAGAGACAGGGCCCCCAGGGGACAGGGGCCGTGCTTGCTCCAGTCATCCTCACCCAAGAGAGCGCCTCTCTGGTCCCAAGGTCCTCTGTTAGTCCCTCGCCATGCGAGCGATGGATAACTCCCTTGGGAGTCACATCCAGGGAGAAATCTAAGGAACTCAAGAGACAGGCCTCTCTTCTGAGAGGGTGTGGGAAAGTCTAGGGAGGGAGGCTGATAAATTGAGAAGTTGCTGGCATTGGCCACCAATCCTTGGACGTAGCTGCTTTTGGCCCCTGGAATTTGACTCTGTCAAGAGCAAGGAGCAGCCCTTGAGCTATGGGAAAGCCTTTCGGCCCGTCCTCCTGCCTTTCCCAGCCTCGGTGTCCACCCTGGCGTGTGATGGGGGCAAGGCCGCGTCCGTCTCTCGGGAAACTCTGCCTCTGGTTCAGCGCTCTCGTCTCCTCTGCTGGCCTTCGGGCTTTTTAATAAGCAGACGCAACCTCACTTTGCTGTCGCGGTTGAAATGCACATTCACGGTAGCCGCTGCTCCTGTCTGGCCCTGCCTTAAATCTCCTTGCTTATTTCTAGGCCCACCTAGGACGTGATCCTTGTTTCCTCTAACGCTGTACTTGTTTTAATGAAGAAGGGAGGGTCTATGGACCCGAGGCAGGTGTATTTGAAGAAAGCTACTCTTCTTGAAATTTCTTGGAGAATAAATTGAACTAACAAAGGAATTCAATCAAAGAAATCATTTTCATTCTATAGTTAGGAAACCTTAGTGTCCCTCAACAGGGTGAATGTACTACAGAGAAGGCAGATAACCTTTGTATTGCTTTTTGAGCTAACGCTATTCTCCTTGGTTTATTACAGCCAAAGCCGTCCTGTAGTTACTGTGCTTCGGGGGGGGGGTCTCTCCCCAGGTGTTTGTAGTGTTCGGTTAACACAGGACGTGCTGTGCTCGCTCCACTGTGTCCTCTCGACTCACGTGTGCGGCTCCAAAGGGAAGCGGCACCTTAGAAAAGCAGTTCTGTTGTTTCAGGCTTTCCGGGGAGTGTCTGGCCAGGAGGGGTTAGAATACGAAGGTAAAAGACAAGCACTGGTGAGGGCAGAGGCGGCGAGAGCTGGAGGGAAAGGGAAAGGGTTCGGAATGTAACTACTTGTTAACGCCTGTCGCAGGGTTCCCCCTCCAGCAAGCGGAGAAGCCCTTCGCTGCAGCCAATTATCGAGGGCGAAACTGCTTCCTTCTTCAAGGAGATAAAGGTGAAGACCTCCAGCTGCTAACTGGTTGCTAAGTCTGCTCACTTCCTGCTCCTCCCTCCCTCCTGTGAACGGAAAGGGCTTGTGATACGGCCCTTCCGTGAAGGCTGCTTGTAGAACTCCCTAAAAATCAGCAGCTGCACGTAACCAGTTTTGAACAGTCCCCTTTTATTTATATTATAGACTAGCTGGTTGCCTTGGTTTCATTTCTCTTTTTTTTGTTTGTTGTTGTTTGTTCTGCTTTTACTTCGTTTTCAGGAATTGTTATTTTGATTTTGTTTCGCACACTGTTTTTTGTTTGGTTTTTGTTTTCCCTATTTGGGGAGTGGATTTTCTACATTGCAAAATCTGGAATTAGCTCATTGGGCCAACTTTAAAAAAAAAAAAAAACCTCATTGAGTTTATAGAAAAATCAAAATTTAACAAAGAGTATATATATGTAACATGCAATGAAAAACTATAATTTTAAAGACAAATAGTAGCCTTTGGCAGATGTGCAGCGCAGTTTCACCCCTTCTTCCTTCCTCTTGGCTTTGCCCTGGCGCACTGAGTCCTCAGGACTAATTTTATAATCTGTGACCATAGTGCTCTCACCGGCAGTCACTACAATGTGTGCCCTGATTGTTTTTCCAGTAGTAATGATGGATTTTGCACAGATAATCCTTGTCATCAGTGGCTACTTTTGCTAGAACCGGGGGTGTAATCTGTGCCCGCAGATCAACGTGTCTGTGCGGGGCCCTACTTGGCCTGTACTAGGTTCAGCCTCTCTCATGGTTTTGTTTCTAGAGGAGCAAAACAAACTGGACTACCTTATACGGAACTCTTGAGATAAAAAATCAAAGGCAAACTTTTTTATTATTATTATTATTTTTTTTTTTTTTTTTTTTTAGCAGTTATTTAGTTCCAAGGCGGGAATAATTAAACCCGAAGCAGAAGTGAGTTTTAAGAGTTTCACTTTGTTTCTGTGACAGTGTCAAGCCTGAAGTGTCATTTACTTACTGTAGTTAGGAGTGATTATTTCAGAATGTGGGGGCTTCTCTGAGGGACACCAATTGAGAAACTCTCCATTTTCTTGCTTGAGGTAAGGTATACACGCTGCAGAGTCTTCTTTATTCCTTTTCTGACCTGCAGGGATCTTGCATACTTCATATGCCTCGTTTTAAGGTATTAGGCAAGGACTGTGTTCACTGTTCATGCTATTTTTAATAGAACTTGTTTTACGAAAGTGCTCTAAAGGTGATATTGGGAAATTTGTGCCAGAATGCTATATTACGTCTTAACAAATTAGAGCTGTTTTCTTACAATAAGCCTTGATGTTGATGAAAGAAGACAATTTTTATCTAGCTGGTAATTTCACACAAGAATTAAGCCATCATAATTGAAGAGATTTGGGTAATTGTGTGTATAGAAATTAGCATGTTTCTCTTAGAAGCATGCAATGAAACTGTTACTAGATAAAAATGAGTTCTTGAATACATCCAAACTATGACAATAATTGCATCACTAAATGAAGATATCCTAATGGTGCTCTTTTTAGAAGAGGACATTGTTCCCATTCTTATCCTTCAGCTTGTTTTTTTCACAAGTATATTTTGGCATGGTTTATTTACTGGCCCACGTAATGGTCAAAAGCTCAGATAATTTTGCAGCTATTACATTGCTTTTGTAAACAACACTGCCTTTTGGTTCATTTTGTTCCAACTGGCTGGGCTTATTAGGGTGTATTTGGACTGCTAATTTTTGGCATTTCTGATACACTGAGAATCGGGTGTGTGTGCAGATAAGATTGTAACTTAGTGGTTTCATTAAAACTCACCCCTTGTTTGAAATGCTTATGGCAGGGGACCAGCGGTATATGAAAGAGACCCAGCTCAAGTTCTGAAGCCCTAGCTCTTCCAACCCAAAGAAACCTAGAGATGATCTAGTCAGTTCTCCTCTCTAACATAAGAATCCTCTGTTAAAACTTGTCTGACGGAATAGAGACACTGGCCCTAGGAAGATACTCCATCCGCGGGCTTGAAAAGCGCACAGCAGTCAGGAGACTAAGGTTGCTCGTTACCTGGGCTGAGTCTCAATGAAAGCATTTTGTAGCATTTTATAATTATCTTTTTAAGTTATAAAATACAACATAATTATATAATATGCAATTTTAGAATATATAAGTTTGATAAATATATCACAACAAAAATAGTTGCAATTATAATATTGATAGTTATCAGTTTATCACACTCTATCCAGTAGGCTCAGGTTTGCCCTCTGGAGCAGCACGGAACCAGGGCACCGCCCCGCCCACCCCCTCCCACCCCTGTGAAATCTTCTCTTTTCCACGTTCCTCTTACCGTTCCTCATGTAATGCGGGTTCCAGGTTTTCAGCAGTCTACTAGCTGTGCCCTGCTGTATGCACGCACACTGGCTTATCTGTGTGCCTCTTAAAACCGATACCCAGAACTGCACACTGTCCTATGTGTGGTTTAACCAGCACAGCGAACCAAAGACTAGTCCTTCCTGTGATCCGGGTGGCTGAGGCCTTTTCGGTTCTCCAGCTTCTTGCCTGTGCAGCCGTCAGTGTACGGTGAGTTCACCGTAGCTGCTGCAGAGCAGGGCGTCTCAACCTCAGCACTGTCGGCACTTGGGCCAGATAACTCGCGGGGCGCTGTGCTGTGCTGGCTGGGATGCTCACCGTCATCCCTGGCCTTCCCCCACCGGCTGCCGGTCGTGTGCCGCCACCACCCCTCCCCACTTGCAACAACCAAAAACGTTTCCAGGCCTTGCCAGATGTCCCCTAGGGGACAGAACCACAGAACCACCCCAGGTGAGAACTGCTCACAGCCCTGTCTCATGGCTGACTCACACTGCTGTGGACTCGTGCAGCCCCCAGCTTCCTTGCCGTCAGTGGGTCCAGCTTTTCTTTTTCCTAACCTAATCATAGGACCTTGAATTTTTCCAGTTTGTTACTTTTTACACTTGTTTCAGCCTTATGAAATGGATTAAATCTCGATTGTGTATTCTGGCATACCAGATATCCCTGCCCACTTAGGATCTGCACATGTCATCAATGTGCCTTTGATGTCTTTGTCCTGGTGACTCAATAGTACTGAGTGACGCAGGGTCAGGTGAGGACCTGCTGTGACCTCCCATCGGCTTCTTCGTCACCACTGGGTCCTCTGCAGCCGTGGGCAGCCAGCTCTCCTCTCACAGGTCTGCCCACCTGATCCTCTATTGAAAGCCAGATATCATATCGATTCTATCAAGAAAGGAGAAATAGTTTCCATGATTTGCTCTGAAGGAGCCAGCGCTTGTCAGCTGCTCACGGTTACGGAGAATCCGCCCTGGGTCCACACCACCGACGGTTAGGGTCTTAGTGAAAGATTTGTTTTTGCTATTTCTCTTTTTCCCCATGATTTTCAAAGGTTACTGAGAGTAATTTTGTTAGGTTTATCTCACAAACATTGAGTGCTCACTACGTCCAAGGCATGTTTTCACATTTTTAAGTGATCTCGGACTTTAGGATATAATCGATAAGACCTGGATACCTGATTGCATTAAAGTAGTTAAGTTCTTCTCTGTAACTCCATTCAGCACGTGTCTCGGGCGTTCATGCTCTTCTAACAGCTTGACGTTCTCTTTTAAAATTGAATTACTCGACTGCTTAACAGACATTTTTTTGACCACCTACTGTATGTAGGCACTGGCCAAGCTCTGGAGACAGCAGCAGCCAGGCCCAAATTCCTCCCTCCTGTCGGGTGGTTCTACCTGGTCTTCTCCTTCCAGGCGAGGGGGAGGGGAACAGGGCGCTGATGTGCAGTCTGTGCCAGGAGCCTTATCAGGTACTTGCCATGTAGCATCTCAATTTTTATAAAAACTACATAGATGAGAATCGTTACCTCCTCTTATAAAAAAAAAAAGAGAAACTTTAAAATTATCATTTAAAAAGTCAGTTTTACTCTGTAAATTTAAAAATATTTTTAATAGATTTTTCAATTTAAATTATTATTGAGGCATTTACTTCTGTGGACCAAGGAAAGAGACTAAAGATCGGAAGTCACAGCTGAGACGATCTGGAAAAGCCGGCTAGCTTTTGCCAATTTTACCTTGATAACAGTAATTTTAATTGTATAATGGTCCTTTGTTGTTTTGCTTCGTTTGCTTGTTTATTCACATCATTTTTCTAAAGAGGCACCGTTATAAACATACTAAAACTTATGGTCAGAAAATCCTCGAGTGCAGTTTGCATGTGTGTACTCTGGCCTCCAGCGGCAACTACTGCTGCCCAGAGAGGTGTTGGCTGCGCTGGCACCGAAGCCACTGAATGTTATACTTACTGTTGCCCATGTAGCTACACTTTTAACCAAGTTTTAAATTTTTTAAAAATTTAAGATATTCTCTCTGCTCTGACTACATTCAGGCAGTAAATAACATCTTTTGAAATCTTTCACACTGATATTATTTCTTCCTTTGGCTTATATAGCTTTGACTTCATTGTTTTGCCATTTGCATTATCAAGATAGAATATCATAATTTTCTTAGAATCCTGAATGTTGAAAAATACAGTCATGGCCCTTGGAAATTCCTTGAAAAAGCTTATAAATTTCATGATTTCAGTCTTCTCTAAAATTTTGTATGTTAAGCAACCACAAAATATTTTCTAATCTCAACTCTTAAATAGAATGACTATAGTGTTTGATTTCAGAAAATGTTCAGAACCTAATAAAAAGTATCTTCTCAGACGCAAAAGTAGAATCCTCTAAAGCGCTGATCACTGGTGGGGGATTTTGTTTTGTACTGTTGCAGTGCTAGAAATCTGTAGATTCTTTTGGTTCATTTGATTCAGGATATAAATTACGAAGACTGTTCCATCCTATCCTTGGCCTTGACCACTATTAATCATGCTGTATACTCATTTTTAATAGTTTTCCCTATTTAGTGCTTATGTTATTAAATCCGTATATATATTCAGTGATACACATAATCCATATCCATATGTGTTGCTAAATGTAGAGAACAAACTACGTGGTGTCTGAATAATTAAATTATTTTGAAAGTATACTTAGAGTGCCCCCAGAAAGTGACCAGACTTTTATTGGGGTTGCTGTACCTCCAGGAAGAAGAGGAGGGGTCGGAAGACGATAGCAACACAAAGCCAGACTTCACAGTAACTCTGAAAATGGATTTCAGCGCACGTTGCTTTCTGGACCAGTTTGAAGATGATGCCGATGGGTTTATATCCCCAATGGATGACAAAATACCATCAAAATGCAGCCAGGACACAGGCCTTTCAAATCTCCACGCTGCTTCGATGTATGTCGTTTTCGTTGTGGTGTTGAAATGTTTGGGTGAAAATAACTTTTTAGCCTTTGTATTTAAAAAAATTGGCTGACACAACACAAGTGACCACTCTGGGGTGTGTCTGTGTGGGTAAAACAGTGATTTTTTTGTTGTTGTTGTTGTTAAATTGTGGCTCAGCTTTTTCACATATGTGCAGGAACTCTGGAGATCTTGCTGAAACAACCAGAAGGTCTCCATAAATGGCACTGTGCAGCTCCGTGTGCCACAGCCCGTCCTTTAACACACGCTGAGCACAGACGCCATTTCTTTCCTCCAAAGAAAAATACGACAGGGTGCCATGGGGTTCACGAGGCCCAAGAATTCTCAAGTAGCAGGAGCCCCCAGAAGCTGTGTCTTCTGCCAGCAGGTCTGGGCTTTCAGGAGCTGGAGGACATCCGCTTCTGCGGACCTCACGCCTCTCCCCCTTCTCCCATCAGCTTGCACATTCGCTACGTTGACAGCAATTCAGACTTGGCTTAATTTTCTTGAAATTTTTCCTCCTTGTTAGACCTGAACTCTTGGAACACCTTCAGGAAATGAGAGAAGAAAAGAAAAGGATTCGAAAGAAACTTCGTGATTTTGAAGACAATTTTTTCAGACAGAATGGAAGGTAGTGCTGGTGACCCCCACCCCTTCCCCTCCCCACTGTATCACCACACACACCCGCCTCTCCCCCGGGGGACCTGGTCCTTGGGTTCATGCCCAGGGACCCAACCTTCGAGGCTGACAGCAGATGATGAGATTGGTGTGACCTCCAGGAAGGAATGCTCCTTGGCTGGTGTCCAGGACTGATGCAGATTCAGCTGACACTTACCAAACCTGTCACAGCCAATTCTCGTCTAAAACCTGCAGCCTGAACCTGAGTTCCCAGCTTCAGGTGACACTAGAGTTTCTTTTCCCCTTAAGAAACTAGAGGAAACACAGGGAAAAGGAGGCTCTAAATCTTACTGATTTTTAAGTTCATTTTAAAAAACAAAGGTGATGGTCGCCAAGTTTGAATGAAAAATATACATGAGAGGCAGTAAGTCCACTGGTTGGTATGTCACCTTTCTCCAGTGAGTCTTAAGGCACAAATTAATCATCTTTATATGGCATCAGGCTGAGAAATAATCATCATGTTTACAGGTGACTGCACACACAATGTCTTGCTTCAAATCACAGCATGAGCCCAAGGATAGAACCAGGAATCGATTTGCAGTGCTTACATTGGAGTTAGGTTTTATCACTTTAAATTGGCTTTATTTTAATCCAAATTATTTAAATTGTGTAAATATCGTTTTTCTTGATTCCCCTTTTACACTTCTTAAAAGTCAGAGAAGAAATAAAAGCACCATAAAAATTAACTTTGGCATTTAAAACGTATTTTAGTTCAATTAATACATAGATTTAGGATCTCTGATTTGGATGTATCCTATAATGACTTCCCCAAGATTTTGATACCCAAATATTTTTTTCATTCCTCACATTGCAGGATATTGAGAAAATATAGATGATAGATTAAATAATAACCACCAAAAACAAATCAGGATTTACTGTTTTGTGTTTCCTTCCATTCTTTTTTCTAAGCATATTTTTGGTTTGTCAGTTTATCCTTTCTTATATTATTGTCCTCACATCATTCACAGATACCCTGCATGTGAGGAACTCTGTAGCATCGTGTAACCCAAGTTTTAAGAAAGTGTAAGGGTGGAAATTGAACTGTAGGGACTTAAGATATCATGAGATCTAGTTCCAGCCCGTCATCTCTGAGGAGACAGAAGCCTCTCCCAGAGTGCCGCGGGGACCGGGTGCCAGATGTTCCGATTCCCAGGCACCTGTGCCTTGCCAAGAAGCCACTAGAATTCTTTCCTCTAGGAAAGCGAGAGAGGGCATGAACAAAATCAGTCTTTTTATTTTTAGCTCATTGAACACATGAAGCCGCATGCCATTTCCTTTGCCTACGTTTGCTCTTCAATAATAAGTAAAGGACCACTGTGTTTCAATGTTTGCCACATGCATTTCCCAGTGACAGGGGACAGTCACTTTGCAGGGAGCCTGACTCCCTGTCCTGGTTTCATCACGTGTAGCGTATGGACAGCAGCCCCCTTTCGTCAAGGTGTCGTAAGGGTTACGTTAGATCATGGATACAGAGTATTTAGCACAGGGCTTGCCCCATGATAAGCTCTCAATTAATACTTATGCACGTAAATATTATTCATATAAAATTAGCAAACTATAAGGGCTTATTAGTATCATGCAACCCAACTGCTGAATTCCAAAACTAATTTTATTAACTTTTGAAAAACCTGTAAATTGTGGATGTGCCAAATGCCAATTAGAAATTTAATGGTTCGTTGAATGAGAAAACAGTAAGTATGAGTAAAGGATTTCAGAGTATGGGAACTCTTACTGTGAATTCACATACTTGAGAGCAGAGAGAGATTTTCTGCATTTCATGTCATTCTGTACGACGCCAGATTAACTCGGTAAGAACTCAGTCGCGTGGTGCCTCCTGGGGGAAAGAGCTTTTCATTACTTGTAGAATCAGTGTTGCCAAGTGGGAGCAAGACAGGAGTTGGATTTAGACAAGTGGACAAACGGCAGAGTTTCCCCTGATGATGAGCTGCCTGATGCGCAGCGTCATCCAGGAGACGCAACCCGTGATCCTTCGCCCCGTTTTCTTTTCTTTCCCTCAGAAACGTGCAGAAGGAGGACCGCGCGCCCATGGCTGAGGAGTACGGCGCGTACAAGCACATCAAGGCGAAGCTGCGGCTCCTGGAGGTGCTCATCAGCAAGGGGGACGCCGCCGCCACGTCCGCGTAGGGACCAGGGGCTCGGGCGCAGAACCACCCTCCCGCGGCGAGGAGCAGCTCCCTGCGGCGGGCCTGGGCCTGCGAGGCCGTGGGGACCAGCTCCCGGTCCTGCCGCAGAGGCTGCGCCAAGGGCGCCGTGACCTGACTTGGGAAACGGGAAAGCCAGGGTCGCTGTGCGCGCGCACTGCAGCGAGAGCCTTCCCGACACTCGTGGAACAAGCACGACACAGACACGCTGGTCTTCCCTGGGTCACCCAGGAGCCCGAGACCGTTCTGCAACGGTGAGGAAGACAAGCTCGGACTTCGCAGAGCCAACTGCTGCGGCTCCGTGCTCGTGACCTCTGCGCAGAGCTGCGCCTCTCCCGCGCCTGTGACTCGCTTTCCCCGTCAGCTCTCAGGTAGATGGACGCTGCCTACGGTCATACCTTCGAGGCATTTCTCCAAGCCGCCCTCAGCCCCTGCACAGTTCAGATCCCGGGCGAGGACCGAGGGAGCGGAGCAGCGGCTCGGTCAATGCCGGCTTGGAAATCAGGTGATGGGGCAAGAGCCTGGAGCCTCCTCCCGGACGCCGACCGCACTTGACAGCCTCCAGTTCCAACGCCGGACGCCGAGCGAGGCCGGCACCGGCCAGACCCCAAGCGTCTTGCTTCATTCTCAGCCCAGGGCTCGAGGATCGCGGAAGACGGGGCCTCCTGCGCGCCACCGGAGTGTAATTCTGCACCGAAACCCCCACGCCGATGGGTGAATGTAGCGCTCCCCAAGGCAGAATCTAAACCAGACCATATTCAAGACTAAAAAGAAAAAATAATGGTGTGTGGCCCATTATTTTTTCAAAGACTTTGTCACAAAGCTGTCTGGACATTTTGGAGGGACCAGGGAATTTAAGACGCCAAATCGTTCATCTCTTGAGTGTGCTCGAGGTCATTTTGTGACGTGTTGTTACTTCTCACCATTCTGTCTGCACCGACGAGAGAGGGTTCCGGGTGCACCGCTGTGAGGTCCAGCACCGGCGTGTCGCAGGCTCTGCCTTCCGAGCACGGACTGCGGGATGCACAGGAGAGCGGGCCCTCCTGCACGTTCTGAGAGTCGCCTTCTTAAAGGGTACATTTTTGTTTTACTACATAGAAGAAAAAGAACATACAACTGTACCGACCTGTTGGCAATTCTGAAACTGGGTCTTGGGAAACTGGCCGGTCAGATTGGATTTACAGCAGCGTCTCCTGTTGCTGAGGGAGGCAGCAACTTTCCTCTGTCCGTTGAAAATTGTCGGAGTGGGGGGAAGAACGCCTTTACGTTTGCTCTCAAAATAATCGTGTAGAAGCATGAGCTATGTGTTGAAAGTACCCAGTTTCAATTCACACACTTTAAAGATGGTACATAATCCTATAAATTTAAATGTACATAAGAATATAGTTTGGAATTCTTTGCTCTGTTTACATTGCAGATTGCTATAATTTCAAGGAGTGATATTATAAATAAAATGATGCACTTTAGGACATTTTCTATTTTTGAAAACTGAACATCAATCATTCACATGACCAAAAATTTTGTTTTTCAAAAGAAATACATGTCTGGTCTTTTTAAAATAATTGTTCTCTTAAATAAGCTATGCTATAAATCAAATCATTACCAGTTAACTTTTAAAGCACATCTGTTCAAGAGTATTCTTTTGGAAAAATACGCTACAAAATTTTTTTTAAAGCTCCCTATAAATAAGAAGCTACTAAATGTTTTGAAATCTGTTGTTTCTGCCAAAGGTAAATTAAAAGATTTATTCAGGAATCTCCATTCAAATTTGTATGATCCAATAAAGAAAACACCAAGTTATAGTAAAATAAATTTTGTATGGAATTTCATGCTTTCCTTTGTAATTTCTAATCTATTCTTCACGGAATGGAGCCCAAGTGAAGCGGGGGGAGCCCCGTTTACCCCAGAGCCTATTTAAGACGTGGGAGGCGGCGGTTTCTGGCTCTGCCAAGGCCAATGTGTTTCCCCAGCAACCGTCTGTGCGGCCCAGGATGTCGAGACGCCAGATAGAGGCAGGAGCTTAATTGGCTTTGAGCAGACAGATGCTCCGGACTCGGGTTTTTCCTTTGCCCTTGTGGGAATGTGTGTGTGTATTAGTACATGCCAACAAGATAAATGTCGGGGTTATTTAATAACAGCGATAAGTAAAGGAAAAGCATAAACAAACTTGCTTCTATGATAAGAATTTGAGATGCCAGAAGCTCGTGATTTTCGTCAGCACATGCTTTTATTGTGTTCATTCGGGAGTAAACACTGAAATAGGTGTTTGTATTATGCTGTCATCATTGCTGCGGTTCCTCTTTGAATCATTTAGGTTCCAGTTCACTTTCTAAGACATGTAAGTACAAGGTTTAGGATAAAGGCCTGCTGAGAAGTTTTTCATGACAGAAGTTTGTCCTGTGCTGGTAGAAGAAGCTGGCACAATCTTGATTTCGTCTTTAATGGCAATTTCCCTGAGTTGGAAGATCCCCAAATTTCAAACTGGCATGCTAGTTTTTTTTTAATTGCCTACTGGAATGCACGGAGAGCTTTTAGGTAAGATTTCTTCCCTTTGGTTGCCAATTTGAAGTCAAAAGATGACTTTCCGTCGCCAGGGCAGGACTCAGTGGTGGCTCCGTAACAGCAGCGTGGTTTTCGCTTTGTCTCCTGAAGCGGTGCTTGCGCGCAGCGGGAAAGCCTCCTGCAGTGTGCGCCTGCTCCCCGGTGTGACGTTTCTAGCCCAGGACAAAGGCCCCAGGGCCACGCCTGTGTCCTACATACTGTATTACGGTGTCCTGAGGCCGGCAGTCTGGATGCGGAGGGCTGGGCACGATTGCCAACTAAGGCTGTCTTATCGGGGTTACGTAGTTCTTTGGAGACAAAATTGGGCCTCGTATCCAGAACCGATCACAGATTTACACAGAAGATCAAGTTTTGAAGTTTGTTGATTTTTTTTTCTTTAGAGATTTTTAACCTGATGACTGAGATGCCGTTTTCTTCAGGGTTAAACCTTCCTGCTTTCACAGACAGTCGAACACCACAGACTGTCGCTGCTGTGTGCAGGCCAGCTGTGGCCCAATTCTGTCTTGCTGCCAAGAGGGACTCTTCCTGACACGCTGGCCTGCGTGGTTGTGCCCCGGCTGGGGAGAGGCGCTTTCTGCACCGAGACCGACGCCCTGCGCTGTTCTTTTTCAGAACCCGCTTGGTTACGTCAGCGGGGAGGGACAAACCGATACCAAAATGTCGAAGCTGTGTTTCCTATGAGGCCCACGGGGTTGCAGAACCCAGAATGTGCTTTCCGTCCCTTCATTAATTCCTTTTGTTGTTCTTCCCACTTGACCTTCAAAATGCACTTAACAGTCTATTTTGTTAAAAGACTGGGTGAACGTTTTCTAGTTTTTATATTCAAATTGTGCACACTGGCACCATTTCAAATGGTAGCCGACACGGCACACTGCAAACGGGTAATATCTAGGTACATGTGCTGGCACCGCACAGCGGCACTGGCCACTGTCCCAGGCAGAGATCCATGTCCTCTACCATGATCCTTCGTGATACATGTGTGTGTATAGGCCAGGGCCAAATTACAGAGTTACACTGATACACATATAAAATCAACGTCTGTGCGTTTACAACTTCTTGCTACCAAGCTGCAGTTCTGTCTCTAGAGAATGTCACTGCCTGGAACCAGGCCATGTGTGTGGCTCAAGAAATAGGCTCGGCAGATCTAATTCTCCATCTGAAAAATAACCTACACAGTCACGAAAATCTCCAGACACGGATAAAGTTATAGTGAATCACACGGGCCCAGAACAATGTTTAGGTGACATGGAAGCAGCAAGCATTTGAAATTGCCATTGTCCTTTTAAATGGAAATTGAATGAAAAACATTATGTACCTTTTTGTACGTGACTATTTTGTATAAACTTAAAATGTTTTGAACCGTGGCAGTTCTGAAACTGTTGGCATCGTCACCGGGACCACGTGACTGAACTGGCGCCGGGGCCAAGCACGCCCGCGCGGCGGCTGTCAACAGAACCGGCTCCGCTCTGCGCCCGCCTTGAAGACGCCTCACGGGGGCGCTGGGAGCGCGCAGAAATGAAGGCGGTGGAGCCAGTTTTTTAAAAAACTAAGGACGTTTCCAAAGTCTACGAGGCCATGACAGGTGAACACTCTCCATTTCCTACCGTGGAATGAGCGAGGCCGTCAACAACCCGCGCTGTGCGAGGCGGCGCAGTACAGCTGTGCGGGGGGACACTCACCGTGCGCTGTCGCAGCCCGCGGAGTCGGGCGCAGGGGCTTCGCCTGCACGGCGGGAACGCGACGCTCCGGGCAGACGCGCGGGTGTCCTGCACGCGGTGCGGGTTCCACACGCTGTAAGCGACGAAAGCAAGCGTTAAAAATGTACCAAACCTGGAAATTGAGGCTTGGAGTAGGTACCGCGTCCTCCTGCTGAGAGCGGGACCCAACTTCAGCGTGCAAACGCGCAGCACCGCCGCAACACGCTCGCCCTGGAGAGTTTCTGGAACCCGGGTTCCGCGTCCTAACGTGGGCAGGAGTGGCAGTGACCCTCCCTTTTCTTCAGTATTTTCACGTTGCCCCTTTTGAGGAGCCGGAAGCCCTGCCAAGTCAAGTAGGCGCGGGCGCTCCAGCCTGGTGCGAAGTCTGGCGCCCCGAGGCCCGCCGCCTGCAGGCCCGTGGCCGCCTGCGCGGGAGCGGCAGCGTGGGGGCGCACGCGGGCGTCTCTCCCCAGGCCGCCGCGCTACCTCTTCCACAAGTGGATTCTGGGTCCTCAGTCCCCGAGCGGGGCAGCGCGCCAAGGCGTGTACAGCGTCTCACACGCGCCAACAGCCACAACTCCCCAGCGCTGTTCCAGAATCCCGGCAGGCGCACAGACGGGCTCCGCAGAAACCGGGGCTGCCGACAGCCTGGTTCTCACTGTTCCCCTCCAGCACCAAGGTGGCGCCGTAAATTAATATTACTACATTAGAGACAGAAACGGTCTCGGGCGTTTGCAGGGCTCCGCCCTGAAGGAATACGTGAGCGTGTTGGTTTGCGCATCAAAAACTGCTCCGCCTCAGGAGGGCGTCTCAAAGGTCAGTGGCAGCTGCTTTCCAAGGTGACGCTGCGGTCTCAGCCCCGTGGGTCTCACCTGCTTTGAAGGACGAAGCGAGGTCTGCGTGGAATCACGGGATGAGAGCTGATCAAACAGTGTCCGCCCAGACACAGATTCCTGCGGCTAAAAGCAATTAGCCCAAGGGACAGTTCCTGCTTGAACTCCTGACGACCTGTCTCAACACACTGTGACTTCATAAAGAAAATGTGGAGCCACTCTATCTGTCTGACCCTTCTGTTAAGTGACAGCTTCATCTTAGAACTTAGGAGCTTGTCCTTGAAAGACTTTGTACCCAGAGTTAGTTAGGGGACCTATAGAAGCCTTTTCAAAGACTTAACCTAAAACAACCTGTTGTTATGTAGATCTTTTTACCCCTGGCAACCGATTACTGTTCCTAGAGATACCCACGTGAAACTTTATTCGGGCCCGATGATTCACGGGGATATCGTAGGGACCCTCGAGTACCCCGCTTTTTGACTATTGTCTCTATAAATCTATAAAACTGTACCTTCGTCCCTGTGTATTCTTTTATTTCTATTATTTTCTTATCCTTTGCGACGACCCCTACCTGAAAGACCCGATTTTTGCGGGGAGCACAGCTGAAGTCCCCGCACCAAGGCTCACGCCACAGGGCGCTGGACCGCTGGGGGCGGGATGTGGCCCGACGAACTGCAGCAAGAACCAGGTCTCCGAGACCACAAAGATCCCAGGTCTCGGCGGGCCCATGTGTGTGCAAAGCCTCTGTGACTACGAATTCTGAAATTCCTAATCTTTCAAATGCTTGACTTTTTTCTTTAACGTCTTGAAAGCCATTCAGGGACGTGCAGAAACCCTCGTGTCTTCCTTCTGGTCCTGCAGCTCTGCGGGCTTCTTGGTAAGACATTTTGAGCCACTGCGATTTTCTATGACGTGCTTTTAAAGAATTTTAAAATTACTGGAGAAGATTATTCAAAGCCAGGGCGAGGGCGAGGTGGAAGGACACGCTCCTCCACGCGGCAGAGAGCAGCGCTTCGCCCGCCGGGAGACGGGTGGCCCTGGCTGCAAGGAGGGCCTGGCGTCCGCGTCCCCCCAGCTGCCGCGACCTGGCTCTGAACAGCGCGCGGACGCCACCCCGGACGTCGCGCGCCGAGCGGCTCTGCCCGCAAACCCCGAGCCCCGGCGCGCAGAGACCCGCGGACCACACTGCGGACAG